AGAATCGAAAACATCGGAAAACGTTTTTTCGATTAGATGCGTTAGAAAATATATTATATATAAAAATATGAAAATAGAGAATCGATGTACCATTTTTACATCGTCGTCGATAACACTGCCAAACCAATTTGATTCGATTCATTCAATCGTCTAGCACCGATCGACCTAATAAATTAATAACCGAGTGGTTAATAAAGTAATCGTGAATCGAGAGAGCAACAGAAAATCGCCGATAATAGAACATTTTTCGAATTGTTGGAAACATGACTGTTTAACCGCGGATTGCTCCATTGTTCGGAGCAAATGGGAAAATCTCGCGGACAGTGGAAATTCGAAAGCGAAAAAGTACAATGACAGAACGAACCCGTTGCCAACGGCACACGTTATTACGAAAACAAACAGCGTTTCACGGCGCCCGTGACTCCGTGAATCGGAAGACGATCTCGATAACGGTCGCTCTAATTTGGAGCTCCTCCAGAACTCTTACCGGTGGAATGGCTTTCACTTCCTCGTCCGAGGTGTAACGGACTGCCGATTACACTCGTTTCCTTAGCAGCGACCGGTTTTTTTCGATCGATCGGTATCTAACATCTTTCACGATCCTCTCAGCTGTCCTACAAACCCGGCAAACCATAACCACGGCCTTCGTAGACAGATCCATCGAACCTACGAATTTCATCTTGTTAATCTAATCGTATCGAATTAATAGACTGCGCAGTTTTATACGTTAATCGCAGGCCAACTGCCCAGATTCTCTATGTTTCACCTACCGACTTTTCTCGTGAATGCATAAAATATCGTGGTTAACTGTGTTCCAGATGTTCATGCATCTCACTTTTATAGAAACATTCGGAGAAAATGAAGTTAGAGAAAAATCGCGTGCATGGTAATTTCTGCATATACTGCATTTTTCACTCAATGTTCTTTTTAATTTCTAGGATTTTTACTGAACACACGTGCATAATGATCCGTGTGTTACAATGAAATAGAATAAAATCGTGATTAAAATTCCTGTTGCTATTACAATATTTCCGTGACCTCGAAATTATGAAAAATGCATTATAATTTAAATGCTCTTATTACGCGAAGACAATTGATGAGTATCACGAATGGTACATATGCATAATTTTGCTGATCCAAACAAGTATTTCTTCTGTCTAATCAGTTAAATGATCAATTAAATAGATCTTTCTACATTTAAACACGAGAAACGCGGCTTTCAAATTACTTTAAGGCTCTATTTTTCGCTTGCGAAAACGTCGCATTTTCCACGGTGTTATATATATAGCCGTGATTCCTGCTAATTCCTGCAGTAAACGCGTTAATTAAGGAACGGATCTCGGTAGGCAAAGAAGGCGAGAGTGATTCAAATGTTGGTTGCAGATATGTTTGCGTCGCGGCGAGACGCGGAGCGCGTTTCACGATCCGTTGATTTCCGCGAGTCATTGGTCTCGGTGCTCGGGAAAAGAAAATGCTCGACAAATTATCGGTCAAACGCGGCAAATCGGTACCGGTTCACGGCTCGAACACAGCGCGTCTCCCGTTCTCTCTTTCTCTTTGCTCTCGTGTATACTTATTGGAGCGCGTATTTATTAGTGGTGCGTCTGGGGACGGTCGCGCACGTGCTCGCAATCGATATTATGCATAGGAGATATTGTGACCATATTTATCTTGAATTGCTTGGAGCCTGTGTCTTCCGAAAGATGCTCCCACGGACTCTGTCAAACTATGTCCGATTGCAAGAGAAAAAAAGAGTAATTTAAATTTGAGTAATTAAAGCAATTTATTATCTTCATGTAATTTTAATTCCTGATAAGAAATCGCGTCATCCTATTTTGCTCACAAGTTTCTATAAACGAAACTCATGTTTGAAATTGTGGACGATTTGTTTTAAAGTGACGAGCTAAAATAGGTAATCCATCCTTGTCGAATTACTTCTTTGGAAAAGATAATAATTAAATAAATTGCTTTCGATGCTATTCATCGAAAAAATAAAATTGTTTATCATCACAGCATCGATCCAAACTCCAAGAATTCAGATATCTGACTTCGCGATTCAGATTACCGAATCTTTAGCCAGCTCGTAATTAGGCTAACTTATAGCTCGATGAAAATTGCACAAGAGTTACCGAATTTTATCTAATCGCAAAAAAAGCCGGCAGAGCACGGGTATAATTTCAAGATAAAGAATGATCTCTTCGCAAATTTTGTTCGGCTCCGCAACGGAGCTAGAAAACGTGAACGTTTTACGAATCTAGAACAGTGGATCACGTGCGCCGCGGATCCAGAAAACCGAACGGGTTCGCGGTAAATGTAACGCGAAGTGTAGTATGTATAATAAATGGTTAACGCGACGCGAATAACGGCGGAGCGCGCCGGATTCTGGTTCTATTCCCCCTTATTAGCGTGGATCGTTCGCGTGGTTCTGCGAATTATCCTCGTGAATCCTCAATGGGCCGTGTCGGGGACATGCCATTGAAACGCTTCGACTATTACCTAGCTCCGATGCGCTGCGATTTTTGCATTCCTCGTGGAAAACTGGTGATCGATTTGAACGCCTTTTGAGGGCTAACATAAACCTCATTTTCTTGTTACATTTTCCACAATGCGAACACGATTTCTTTAAACGTTCAGATTTTTATGTGTTTGCTAACATTGCTGAAGATCTACAGCGGTTTTACATCGACGAAATATTTTTAGGTAACTCGAGAATGCTATTTAAAATACTTGATGCGATGCGGTTCAGGTGTAAATAATATTATAGAGACAATTAAGTGTGGAATATTTTAATCTTCTATTCTTGTATTTCACTTAAAATAATGAAGATTTATGCCAACCACACATCAAATCAAATATTTTCAAGAGCTTTAACAATGTTATCTAAAATGCTTGATACATTGCAGTTGAGATAGAATAATATTACATGAGCAATAAAACGGAGTACTCTAATCTTGTATACCAAATAAATGTACGTGAATATATTTGGCGGTGAACGAAAATTTAACACGAAGATGTTATTTTAATATACTACGTAGACCGCGGATTTTATATATCTCTGGCAAAAATTACTAGATTAAATAACGCAACGATGCTTTTAAATGCTCTTATTATTTTCAAGTCATTAAAATGATTAAGATACGCAATCAATGTTTACACAGTAAACATTGACAATTTTTGTGTTGCATAAAAATCCGCGGACTAATGATAAACATTTGGTAAAGTAGATTGTATGTAACAGAGTGTAGAATTTTACAGAGTAACCAATGATTTTCAGGACTCTTTGAATGCGATTTTCGAATAGGTTTGAATTTAAATAAGCCATTGTACTATTTGAACCAACGTTTTGCCCGGGTCTGGACACGCATAGAATTTCGGCAACAGTGATTCCAGCGTGGTAGGCAATGCGGGCGATCGACCAATGGTCAACGTGCTTAAAAACGCCGGTAATGTCAGTCGAAATATTTCGAATTTGAATAATTAAGCTCGTCGAAGCAAAGCGACTACTCGGAATTTATGATTCGCTCTCGAAGATCATAATAATACATTGTATTAAACGTTTCAATTCTAAAAGTGGAAAACTTTTCATGGAGAGAACAAAAGAGATAGAGACAGATCACAGCTATCATTAGATTGAGAATTTTATGCGTTTATACCATATTGCAATTAACGAAACGCAATAAAAGAATCGTCGCAGTAATGTTCTGTGTTTCAATGTTACTTTTTGCTGATCACGATGTCGGGCGGTAAAAATAAATTTATGCGTAATTCCTGTCGTCTCGAATGTGTCTATAAAAGTCTCGATTTACATAAAGATTCGTCTAGCTATTTCGTACCATATTAATGATACAATAAATAGTAGAGAAGACAGATTTAGTACATGACGGAATGTGTATCCTCTCAAAAGTATCGGGACATCTGCTTCGACTAGCGAAACGAGAGACTATGCACTTCGCCCTACTTTCCGAAGAATTTTTGATAAATCCCTGTGCGTCCTTAACTCCTGATTACTAAAGTGAAGTGAAACAAAAATTTAATCGTCTATAGCACCCCTTTCAGACAAAAATATATTCATCAAAATTAAAAACATAGCTTACCAAAACCTTAAAAGTGTACACCTTTGAAAGATGACAAAGATATAAAAAAACACGATAAAAACTATCGTTTGTTCCTAATGCTCACCTCAAGATTTGTTGACTAAAGTGTGCACATGTATGAACCAAAATATCCAAACGAAAAATATCTAGGATTTAGAAATATTCTCCCCTTCCTACCCCAAGGCGAAATCCGCAAATAGAAATGGCAAGCATGCGGGAGACATCGGAGCGTAAAAAAATATAGCAGATGTCCCGCGTGTAATATTGCGAACAGCCTTGGGCGATGTCACGCGTCGGGAGTTGACCCATGTGCATCAAGGACGCACGGATTCGACTGCGTGGAGCGCATCGTTTCAAAGAGCCGGCTGTGCGGTAGATTTTCACGAGTAACATGAATAAACCGGATCCGTTTCTCTAAGAAAATCGATGCACTACCTTCGGTACTAGCCAAATAATCTATTCTGACTGGTGTCCTGTCAATCCTAACAGCACCTGACCCTAAAAACAGTAAACAATCCTAACAACGAAAACCTACACCGTATAAAATACATTCGCAGTTATATACGAAAAATCTAAGTGTACGTTGATAATGTGGCTTTGTGTTCAATCAGTCTAACTGATTGGATAGTATATACCTCAGCAGTTTAAAAAGTGTAAACAGTTCCAGCTTTAGAACAATGAAACCAAGCAGTAGATAGCGCGCGCGGTCTCTGTGCTCCGTTTCATAAACAAAGTCATGGTCGAGCATGTGGCAATCCCCAGCTTTACGAATAGCACCCTAAAAAACAGCAACAGCTCCGGCCTCCTGATATTTGACGTAATTAGATGCGTACACGTTTCTGTTCGTTGTTTTCTATTGTAAACGAAGGGTGATCGCGTGAAGCGTGTATTAAGATTTCGACTCACCTTAGTGTCCCGCGACGTGTGATAGTAGTAAACAAAGGCGAACATCCACGCGCATGACAGGAGCAACACAATTTTCACATTTCGCCGCATCTCTGCCGTGTTGGTGGCCACCCTCTGCGCTCGGTGCAACGTATCGACGCACTCGCGTCCTCTGTCACGTTCCCAGGGCCCTCGAGGATTGTGTGTTCACGATCCCGACAACTGTAGCACGCACACCCGCGACCGACGACGCACTGTCGCACTGTGGATCTGCACCACCAACGCGAACCGACCGGCAGCCGAAGCCATACTGTCCGGTTAAGTTCCGAGGGGAACGGCGCGGCGGCGACGACGACCAACGCTCCGCACCGAACGCGTCGCGTCGTTGCTTTCGAATCCCTTCGCCTGGTGGCGCTTCCATCTCCAATCTGACGCCCACCGACCGCGTTCCCGCCGAATTTCGAATCGCTGTCCACTGCCATCCAATTACCTTCGATCTCTAGCTAAACAGAACATCGTTCAATTAGACAGAACTACATCAACAACTATAACATGACAAATGATTCTTATCATCTTACCGATAACTGTTTCTTATAGGCGATTCACCTCATCGATGATCTTGACTCGAATGGGACTTCGATTTGTTAAATAGCCAGCTGTACCCAACAAGAATGAACAAGAATCCCCATCAACCCCAAAACAGACAAGGTTATAATGACCCATTTTGAAGGAATCTGGTGATACCCTGTAGAAATTCATGATTCTCTGCTTTTTATCGGTTGGATGTCTTCATTTGATGAGGTATTGATAATTACCATTGAAGCGAAGTATTTTTCACGAGGAATGTACAGCAGCTGCGACGCTCCAAGGAAGAATAACGGCGGGACATTGACATAATTTCAAGCATGGTGGAAATCGGCAATTGTAATTGGTCGATCTGCATTTCGTAGTTCCCCGCAACGGGAAGTGAGGGCGCTTGCATCATCGCTGAGGAACGTTAGGAAAGTTTGAAATGTTAACCAAAATCGGGGTGATTTTCGTGAGTATTTTACGTTTTTTTTATTTATTATTACTTTATACTGGTCATTATAGAGATATGTTAATATCAGTTAGCACAAGGGTGTACTTGTATGGATCGAGAAATAGCCTTGATCAATTACCAATCGAATTCTACGTTTACAATTATTATTTACAATTACGTTTACAAACGTAAAATATATTGAACTCGAACATCTTACCTATTAAATATACGTTCTTTCTCTCAAGTTTCGTCACTCCATGCGAGCGAAATATTAGAAAGACTAAATTGAAATTAAATATAATAAAAACTACCGATGAACAAAATTAACTGCTGCCGACTTTTTCCACAGGTGCAAGCATCGTTCAAGCCGGCGTTTCTGCGCAGAAAGCTACTTTGCGCGGAAAGATGCGCAGAATTCAACAATTGTAGAAAATATTTTTCGCGCTATCTACGAATCGGGGATTCTGATTGATCAGCCACTTGATTGAGGTAAGTGTTGTTGCTAATTACTCTGTCAAGCACATACAGAACGGAAATGCTGTTCAAACTGTTTACTAAACTAACAGTGTTGTAGACAGAAAAGCGAGAAACGAATACATGACTAAACACACACTTGAAATAGGAAAACAGGTTAGCTGGAACATACCTCTTGAAATGAAACATAATCGCCTGAACAAACAGTTTAGATGCCACGGAACTTGTTCTAAGTCCCTGAAGCTATTGGTAAGCTAATTTAACTTTAAGATACATAGATTTAAGTTTAATCCCTTACAATTATAAAGATTGATTTGCAATGTTGCTATAATAATAATTCAACATTGATTCAATATTACTATAATAGAAGTTCAAGCTGTAGTTCTCATTATAGATCAATGGCTAGTGGAGGACTTAAGAAGAAGGTTCAATGAGAGTTTAACAAAATATTCCACTTAACTTGGGCACTATAAATAAACCACTTATCATTAACAATAGAACAAAATTTCACGAGGAAACATGAGCTTTCGAGACAAATACACTATAGTGAGCAAGAAAATTTTCTCAAGGCTACAATAATCTTCGTGTGACCTTGAGCACCAAGAGAACTAGAAGAATCTATGGATGCAAGAGCATATATGTTTGAAGACGTCGCACAAATATTATCAGACTCTTAAATCTGCTGAAAAACGCGTGACACACGAAAGACCTACGTCCATAGTTTGATTGTTAATAAATGAAAACGTGTAATTTGCACCAAAGAGAAAATTCCTCTGTAAAGAGATAATTCCTGGAACATGAAAATAGAAGAATGATTTTCACGGAATTGTTAATTATAGGCAGCAAACTACGTGGAACGTACCGGGTGTAACCGATATTGGGTGGACTTCGATAAGTCCCCTAAATACGCCCACTTTTGAATAGAGATACGCTATGTTTCTGATCATTCGATGCAGTACGCGACGAACGGCAGACGGTGAACGGTCGTCGTAGGCATCCGGTAGGAGATGCCACAATAAAACTTGATCGAAACTCGGTGGTTTGCTGACTACGATGGCTACGTGGTCGCGATGGTTGCTACTAACTTACCTGGGCTTCGGTGCGGCGTGGATAGACGAGAGGTATGAGGACCACAATTTCCGTCAATGTCGTCGACTCTTCTGGCGCAGAACTTCTGCCTTTTAATGTCCCCTAACTTTAATATCTTTCTATCCAGGCCGGTGTTGGAGTCGCGGGACGGAAACCTGTTCATTTCCGCCGCGAGGGACAGGAACATCAGCCTGAAGATCCTGGGAGCCGGCTACGTCAACGTCAACGAAATTAATTTGCTGCACGTCGCTTCCGCGGTAACGGATCTCTTGGACGTCGCACCTTCGAGTCTCGAATCATCATAAACGAATTTATTCCAGGCGCAAAACGCGACGCATCTGATCGAAAGATTGCGAACGGGCTACCTGGCGGATCTGGAAACCGATCTGCAGCGACTAACGCAAATCGTCGAAGGACCGGATGGCCTCGAACGAAGGATGGCCATGTTAAATGGCTTCGCGAAGCCGAACGGCACACTCCCGTCGGGTCTATTACGTAATCAGGTGCACCATGCAAACGATAATCGAATGAATATTTAATGAAGATGGAAGTTCCCAGTAATTAGCAAAATAATTTGTCATTTTCAGTCCGTCGCCAGCGTCAACATGAAAGTTCGTCTTCTCACCAACCGGGTGGGTATTGCAAGCTCAACTTTCACCCTTGGATACTACATAATTGGATGTTACAGAATTATTTTGATTTTCAACTACAAAAAGATATTGACGCTATCCGAGACAAATATTTGCTAAAGCAATTAGGATTGATTATGAAATTTTAGAAAATCTTGATCCGAGGATCAATACAGTTTCGCAACTAAATTATTGTATATTTATGATCATTGTATTAGGTGCGACGTCTGGAGAACCATGTAAGGACGATAGAAACGAAACTAATAGTAAACGAGTGTATTAGCGGGCCTTGTCAAAACGGAGGCAGCTGCCAGGACCTCTATGACGGATATCAGTGTAATTGCCCACCTAATTGGGAGGTAAATGAGTTGATATCAAACTGTCGAAGGGTAAGCATTGACTATAAAACTTGTTACAGGGACGGAATTGTCTGACTGATGTGAACGAGTGCCTGCGGCTGCAGGGAACAGATCTAGGCTGTCAGAATGGCGCTACGTGTTTTAATTATCCGGGATCATACAGGTACAATATACTACATAATCACGTATCTATCATGTGGCCTTTCGATAACTTTACTTCGTTTCATTAGGTGCGTATGTGCTTCGGGATGGCACGGCATCCATTGCACGACGAAGACTTCTGTCTGCAGCACGCAGAACTCTGAGGCACTGTGTGGACATGGTGTTTGCGTCAGCAAGCCAGGCTCTAGAGATGGCTACACTTGCATTTGCGATCAGGTAAATATCGTTTGCACTTAATACATTCCTTTAAAAATGTTATACAAGGTTCAATGATTCTTACAAGTCTTATAAGAGCTTCAACAATTGCCAATCGAGCGATCCAACTTTGGATCTCGGAAATTTAATTCTAAATCTTTGTTAATTGGATATATCTTCTTGTCCAGGGTTGGCAGGCCGAAGCCACCAGCCCGGCCTGCACCAAGGACGTTGACGAATGCGCGAGTAACCATCGACCATGTTCCGTGAACCCTTGGGTAAATTGTCAAAACGCTCCTGGTACATTCTTCTGCGATGCATGTCCTCGCGGTTACACCGGTAATGGCTACTACTGCGCCGACATCGACGAGTGTCTGGTAGAGAACGGGGGCTGCAGCACGACGCCCAGAGTAGAGTGCATGAACACGATGGTAATTATTCCAGAGGAACATCAAACGAAAGCTTAGATCCACGACTTCAATGAGACACAGTCGAACCATTTTGGGGAAGTTGTCGATGGGTGACCACCTAGAACAATTTCCTTCGGATTTACTAGTTTGCGTAATCTTGTATCAGGGTTCGAGGATGTGTGGGCCATGCCCCACCGGTTACAGCGGCGACGGTGTCACCTGTACATATGTGGGCAGTTGCAAGCTGAACCACGGAGGTTGCCACCCCTTGGCGGCGTGCATCGAGAACACAGCTCTTACCAGCGCTTACGTGCTATGTCGATGTCCAGCTGGTTTCACGGGCGATGGAGTTGGCCCGAATGGTTGCCATCAGATAGCAACACACATCCCTGCCCATGGCGCCTGCTCCAGTAACCCTTGCGTCCATGGGAGTTGCCATCTCAAAGAAGACGACAACTACGACTGCTTGTGTGACTCCGGTTACATTGGTGAGAACCGCAACGAGTTTATCTATCCTTTTGAAACAAACCGTGGCCGTGCCATACAAAGACGATCATTCAAGAACAAATTAGGACTCGAAGGATGGAACTCCGAAGAAATTGTTTCCATCTCTGTGAAATAATTAGAAGCGATATATATATATATGTTCACTTAAATTGCATCTCCTCGCGTTTGCCATGAGCGCGTAAAATCAGTCCAGTATTATTTACGTCCAGTAACATCATAGAAGAATGGAATCACAAACGTTCTAAATTATGAAGCACTGAATCGTTCTCTTGCCCATGCCGCCACTGTTTTCTAGTTCAAATCAACGAGTTAATGCTTATGGTCTTCTATTAATGTTCCAGGGAAAAACTGCAACATAAAGGATCCTTGCATGCCTAATCCCTGCAGAAACAGCGGCATTTGTAGGCTCGTGGACGGAGCCGCGATCTGCAACTGTTCGGCGACGCACACCGGCATCAGATGCGAGACTCCGCGACAGACTTGCGGCGGCGTGGCCAGGGATCCTGTCGGACAGCTCGTGTTCCCTAAAGATGGGAACGTTTATCAGCATGGATTGAACTGTGCGTGGCTTCTCACCACTAACAGTTTGCTCGTCCTGAACGTCACCTTCACCAAGTTCAATATCGAGAAATCGACCGACTGCAAATTCGATTTCCTGCAGGTACGGGGACAAAGGACAGAGTCCTCGAATATTTGACCCCTTAGATAACGGACCTTTTCACGACTGCAAGGCGCAAGATGTTCAGAAGCGTTTGCGAAACCTATTTTTCGAAGCCTATTTCTTGTAGATGATATAGTTTTTCTATTGCTCGCGACAGAACAGTTTCCTGTTTAAATGAATAGCTAGGAATTGAGTAGTTTTATTGCGATCTCAATGCTCTTGTAAGTTGAATTATTGAGCAAGCGATTTTGCACTGCAAAGAAGATGGGAAAGTAAACACATTTAGCATAAAATAGAACTTGAACGTCTCCTTCGATAAAATTACTAATTTTTCGTTGTCACGCATTTTTTCCCTTCCAAGCCAGTTTATTTCTCTGTATCGGAATTTTTCGACCGGCGTTTACGTTCTCCCATAAAAAGCATCCCTCTCGAAAACACCACACGAATTTTTAGTGGCTACAACCACGTTATTACCATGTTCTAACTCGTAAAGTACGCAGTGTCGTTAATGCACTTTTAACACACATACACACAGAGACAAACACATACACATGTTCCTCGGCGCAGTCGATGTTAATACGCCAGCCACTGGACTTTTAAAACTTGTGTCCACAGTGTACGTCAGGTAGAACAAGATAAAACAGTTTAATAGTCATTTGCTACCTTCCCTTTGTAGCTTTAACAAGTCCAGTGCCACGAAAATTCCTGGAAAATCGAACTAACTCGTTTCAAACGTGTAAAATAGAGAAGTTTAAACACGCTTAAAAATCGTGTAAACTTCCTCAGACCTGTATTAGTCAACAGGTAGTATATAAACATCCTTGCAAAGAAATTTCCAGTTAATAGACTCAGAATATTTTGCAGAACAGATTCGAAGATATTGAATAATTGGCAACGTTTCAGATCCACGACGGAAGGAACGCTGGCAGCCAAATGATCGGCCGATTCTGCGGCAACACGTTGCCTAATGGAACCGGGAACATTATATCGTCCCACAATTCCTTGTACTTCTGGTTCTACTCGGACAACAGTATCTCCCATGACGGGTTCGCGTTCCGTTGGGATAGCATCCCACCCATTTGTGGCGGACATCTAACAGATGACTACGGAACGATCACTTCGCCGGGTTCGCCTGGCAGATACCCGCCTAACAGAGACTGCTTTTGGCATATCGCTGTCCAACCTTCGAAGAGGATACAGCTCCATTTCGGTCAGCTGATGATCGAAGAACATCCCACCTGCGAGGACGACTACCTCGAGGTTCGTAGACCTCCCTCCAAGCTGAACTCGCCCATGCTTCAACCCCTTGCCTCCTGAAGGCAATGTTTGAATTAGAGGACCAACCTATTATTATTAGACTTGCGGATCTCCTTGCGAGATACAGACATCCATCAAATTAATGGAGATGTATTCTGATCATGATATTAATTTCAACATCAATTCTAGTAAACAGAAACTAGATCAAAATTGATTTGCTATTTTAATCAGTTCAGTAAGATGAAAATGATGATGCTTTGAAACACTTTACGTCTTTCTGCTGTCTGAAATTTCGCCTACTCGGTTGTTCTAAATGCATCAAATCTGATTAGTGGAAATACTGGTAGCAAACTTGAGAAGGTAGCGTGTCAAAGATAACAGTAAAAATCAATGTGACGTAATTCAGGAGACAAGGGATCAAACAACAGTCTAAGGAGAAACGGTGTCGTATTTTTTCAACTTTGCATAGATAATGAGCGAAAGTCGCGGTAGGGTGGGTCTCTACTGCAACCACACGCGCCCACCCCCTCTCATCGTGCCAGGATCAGAGGCCGTGCTCCATTTCCATTCTGACGGCGCCGGCCAGGATTCTGGATTCCAGATTCACTATTCCGCCATCGAGGGTAACAATCTTCAGCCGATTCGACGAGCATGAATGAAAATCGCGCGCCCGACAAGCTTTATCTGGAAATCAAATGAAAAATTATTCTTTCAGGTATACCTGGCTGCAACGGAGTGTACACCGCCTACGTCGGCACCATCACACTTCCTTCGTACAAGTCCTCTTACCACGAGAACATGGAGTGCGATTGGAGGATACAGCTGCCGGTTGGCGAACGTGTGCGAATCACCTGGACAAAGTTCGGTCTGGAGTATTCGAACGCTTGCAAATTCGATTATCTCGAGGTACTCTAAATATCCTAATCTTGACAAATTGATCGTTTTCTAATCGACCTCGACGCTCTTTCTAAGATGCACTTGATTCCAAATACGGTAGAACAATGATTTCAATTCCGAAACATGTTTCACATATACATAAATCACTATGATCCAGATGTGATACTATTTATTTCACAAATCAGTAAGGATTACATCTACTGCCGCATTGTAACTTTATTATCCGAGCAACCGTTTAAGACGGGAGCATTTTTTTCTCAACTAGATTAACGAGTGTTACTTCATAAGAATGAGAAGATGAAGTTTACTTAAATTTCTCTAAATCATTTCCTACGAAAGACATTTTCTCAATTTCAATTATTTCAAACTAAAAACTGAGGAACTCGTCATTGCGACGTGTTGAGAACCAAGTTGAACCAATCATGGAACGTGCTCGTTCAGCTTTAATTTGACCCCTCGAAGTTGACAAATCTTTTTCTGATTTCTAAATTTTCGCAGATCTATGACGGTCCAAGCAACGAGTCGCCACTGCTCGGCAGGTACTGCGGCCAGACGCTGCCCCCGTCCTTGAAGTCGACCTCGAACGAGGTGCTACTGGTATTCAAGTCCGACTTCACGGTGCAGAGCGAGGGTTTCACCCTCTTGTACTCGATCGACTGCGGCGGTGTGTTCACCGAGGAGTCCGGCTTCCTGCATTCGCCATTGTACCCGAATCAATACCACAGCTCGAGAACCTGCATTTACGAAATCATACTGCCACCTGGCAAGAGGATTGAGCTCACTATCCAGGACATGGACATCGAGGGCCTGAGTCCGGAGAACTGTTACTTCGATTACCTGGAGATCTTCGACGGGGACAACGAGAACAGCACCAAGCTCGCCACCCTCTGCGGCGGTGAAAATGACATACCCCTCGATGCCTATTACTCCACCCACAATTATATGATGTTGAAGTTCGTCAGCGACGGTAGCTTAGAGGAGCGTGGCTTCTTCGCGAACTACACGGCCATCGACAGCGGTACGGCACTGTTGCATCCTGATTGATCAACTAACCCTTTGCATTCGAGTGGCGACTCTGAGACATCGCTAAAAAGTGTTATGTCACGTTCCAAAATAATGTTTACATTAGAAATTTGTTTATACTTAAAGGAGTGTTAAAAGCGTAACTGTTGTATCAATCGCAAGGTTCAATTTCGTTCGCATAAAATACACTAAGCCACATAAAACGGGAAGACCGTAGGCCAGAAAAACACTATTTTGGATTTTATAGTTGACTTCGAGTGTAAAGGGTCAAGATCATGCTTTTGTTGGCCAGTCAATTGATAAATTAATGTTCGTGTGACAGTATGCGGAGGACTGCTCAAGGAACCGATAGGGATTATTAACTCTCCAACGAGTAGTGGGCAGAAGTGCACCTGGACGATACAGGCTCCGCCAGGTCACGTGGTACAGCTTAACTTCTTGTCGTTCAAATTCGACAAGTCAACCCATTGCAGAGAATCTTACGTCAAGGTTTTCGAGAACTATTTGACCTCCGACATGAACATGCTGGGCATGTACGTATGAACCGTCTAAATCCCTAAAATGGTCAACGGTAAATTCTCGTAAAATGATTGCATGGCAAGCGTGGCTATGTTGATCCCTTCAGTCGATAGAAATATAGCTAACAGCCGTTTACTTCTTCAGCTTCTGTGGAAAGAAGAAACCGCCGATACTGTTATCCGAAGGTAACGTAATGACCATCTTCATGAACGTAGACTACACGTTCTCATTGCTTGAGTCCAACACATTCGTCGCATCGTACCTCTTCATGGACGCCTCGAAGGTCTGCGGCGGCCATTATATGAGGTCGAACGGCTTGATCAAATCACCGAATTACCCCAATCGCTATCCAGGCGGTAAGGAATGTGTGTGGATAGTGGAAGCGGCGAACAAGCACAAAGTGATCTTGAACGTACGGTCGTTCATGCTTGAGTATCACCGCTCCTGTATCTACGATTATCTAGAGATCAGGTGAAACAGCTAGTCGAGACGCTCGCGTTTCTTGATCGAGTTGTTAATGTCTAACGTCAATCTACGATTGTAGGAACGGCGGCTACGAAACTTCACCCCTGATTGGAAAATATTGTGGAACAGATATCCCAAGTCAGATCATAGGTCAGAGCAATCAATTGTATCTGAAGTTTGTCTCCGATATTACCAGACACTTCAGTGGATTCGAGATCGAATGGGATAGCACTACGTCTGGTAATTAACTACTGCTGAATCCCAAAACATCTATTAGGTCGAGTCATAGATAACTTCCGTTTTCTTGTCAGACATTTATTTTGTCTTTTGTTTTCATTTATTTTCTTTACACTTTATTTTATTTATTTTGAAGCCTTATCTATTTAGTGAAAACAAAAACTCGTTTGTTCCGGTGATCTCATAGTGGGCAGATGCGAACAATAGACTCTGCGTAGCTGCATCGGAATTTATTTACGACTCGATCTAATAATCAGCGAAACAGAAGCAATCGGAGAAGAAGAACATGATTATTCGAATAGTAAAGATTGTAACATTGACGATGCTTCTTTTTGTACGTTCAAGGTTGCGGTGGTATCATGAACGCCGCCACCGGCGACATAATCTCCCCGAATTACCCGCAGCCATACTCTCACTCGGACTGCTACTGGAAGATCTTGGTGTCTCCGGGCAGCCTTGTGCGACTCCTGATAATCGATCTCGACCTAGAGCATCACGATAAGTGCATATTCGACTACATCGAGCTCTACGAGGACATCGATCCAAACAGCAGGCAGAGGTATTGCAGTAGCTCCCATCCGAAGGTCATACAGGGCAAGTCGAACACGATGAACGTGCGGTTCCGTACCGACTATTCGAACTTCGGCCGCGGTTTTCATCTCAAGTATGAAACACGTGAGTTGTCTACGCCTGCTATATACTCTATCCTACTCTACTTCTAGACTGCCCTATATTCTATTCGACAAATGTTTCGGTCTGTTTGTAGTTTGTCAAAATACGCTGCATGGTTTCTACGGCGTGATCGAGTCGCCCAACTTCCCGGACAAGTACCAGGACTTACTAAATTGCACCTGGGTGATCGAGGCGCCCCTCGGCAACAAGGTGAATCTGACTTTCTCGCATTTCGAGTTGGAAGCGGAACAAGAGTCAGACTGTCAGAATTATCTGGACGTCAATGAGCGCGCCTACAGCTCGGCAACCACGCTCACGAAGCTCGCAAAGCTCTGCAACACGGACAGCGTTCCTCGTCACACGATTTCTTCGACGCAGAACCAAGTGCTCGTCCACTACATTGGAACAGTACCCACCCCCGTCAACTTCCGATTGGAGTGGATGGTAGACGGATGTGGAGGACATCTGACGAGGCTGTCTGATTCGTTCACGTCGCCGAATTACCCGCTCAACTATCCGACAAGCGTCGACTGCGATTGGCTGATCGAAGTCGATCACATGAACAGCATAGAGCTCACTATCCATGATGTGAGTGTTCATTCTATCAGCTCACTCGGTACATGGTACCAGTTTTGTAGAAGCTAAACATTAGCTGATACTTTAATCTCTGGGTTCATTGTCATAGAGAAAAATATTTATTATCACTTGTAGCCTGGTGAATTTAAGTCATTGATCCGTAAGAAATCTGGAGGATTCAAGATATCAATCCTGAACCGCCTAAACAGTCTAGAGAGACAAAAAAACTGATTCCAAATCCTAAAAGGTTCAGAGAAACGAAAATGCTCCCTACGTGCCGTAGGGAGTCGAAAGTATTCATTGTAAACTTCGGAAAAAGTTTCTACAGTGTCAAATTGTAAATTTTAGGAAGCTTAAATAATTGACAGTGTAATCATAAACGCGCTGTGTAGAAAATTTGGGTACTTGAACATGTTTATTGTTACTTGTAGAGGATCCAAAAAGATATTAATTATGAATCTTATAGAAAGTCTGAGGGGTTGAAGACACTGATCATATATTTTTGTAGGGGGTGGCCTAAACGTGAACCGGTAATTTAATCTTTGGGTTCGATGTTCTCGAATGATATGTCTCTTTAGAATAAATTGGACAAATGCGATGTATCTAACGCAGACCAAAGCTATGTTTGCAAATGGATGAATTTCTCGCAGACTAGACAGTGTTTGTGGCTTGATGCTGATGAATGTCTTTGTTCCCAGATCAACTTAGAAAAGCAGAAGGGTTGCTACTTCGACAAGCTGCAAGTGTTCAGCGGCGACGACGCAAATGCGCCGTTGTTGATCGAGGTCTGCTATTCCGATAACCCGATGGTGTACACCAGCTTTGGAAACAAGATGTACTTGAAATTCCACTCGGACGTGTCGTACGCCTCGCGCGGATTCAACGCCAGTTATAGAAGCGTGCCTATTCAGTGCGGTGGTAGATTCACCGCCGACACCGGTATCATACATTCCACTGATTACCCGAAGAATTACCCGAGACGTCAGAACTGCGAATGGTTACTGCAGGTGCAGCCCAACTATCTTGTCAATCTCACCTTCTTGGACTTCGATCTGGAGACCTCTGATAACTGCACCGCCGATTACGTCAAGGTGAGAGAACGGTCGCCGTCGACGGGAACATCTAGGAATATCTGGTCTAGAAGATCCGGACGATTGAAAGTATTGGCAGCCGATCATAGACAGTCTGAAGAATTAAAACTATTTATTACAGAGAAACGAAATCTGGGAATTTTAAAATATTTATCGTTACTTGTAGTCTGGTCAACTTAAGTCGTTAAGAGAGTTCTGTCGCGCAGGAACAAAATACGTGGAGTCTTCGTCAATTCAAAGATATCAATCCTGAACCCTCTAAACAGTCTAGAGGGACAAAAATACTGATTCTAAACCCTGGAAGGTTCAGAGAAACGAAAATACTAATTACGTACCGGGGGGAAAGATATTTTAGGAAGCCTAAATAATTGACATAATCGTAAATGCTGTGTAGAAAATTTGGCTACTTATTATTGTTGCTTGTAGAGGATCTAGAAAGATCGCAATATTAAATATGAATCTTATAGAAAGTCCGTGGGGTTGGAAACACCGATCATAAATTCTAGAAAATCAGAGAACTTTTCAATGTTCCTATCGCGAGAGAAATGAAAGGGTGGAACGTTTAGTTACATTTCGTTCGCGACTCCGCGGTATCAATCGCCGGTAACGTAAATGAAATCTCCGTTTGAAAGCGTGCATTCGCGTAAAGTTCCGCAGTCCGGTGATACGAAATCGTGATGTTGACAGATATACAACGGTCCAACAAAGGACTCGCCGTTAATGACGACTCTCTGTCAAAACGAGTTACCAAAGCCCTTCATTGCAACTGGAAATGAAATGTTGGTCGTAATGAGAACAGACAGCTTCATCACAGCGAAAGGATTCAAAGCGACGTACTCTTCAGCTTGCGGCGCTCGGCTGATAGTCAAGGATCAGGGATACCTATCGCCATCCTGGATTCATACCGACAATTCGGATATTCTGAACTGTACCTGGACATTGATCACGGAAGATCCAGGTATGTTCAAGATACGCCTGCCATGCGAACGCGAAATATTCGGAAACTCGATACCATCAACCCCAATACAGTAATTTCTCCCTAATTCGCGCTCAGATTGCGCATAAAAATGGACAATTTGGGAAGAGAAGATACGATTGTTCGAGCTTTGCGGCTCATTTTTGTAGTCACCGATTGTCAACAACTATAAAAACGCTCGAATTAGGAAGAAATTACTGCGTGCATAATCTTTCAAAAATCATGGTAAGAATCGGCAGAGACATAACTTCACGGAAAGAAATCATTCAGGAGCGCACAGTAAAAGTTTATTAAAGCTCTCACGCGAATTAATATAATCAGATTCATCCTGCGGGAAAAAATGTGAGACAACGCAGTGTTTTTCTCGCGCTAAATCAATCGTTCGCTGAACGCGCTACCACTTTTATGTTCGTCCTGCGAATCTATGAAATATCAGCCGTTTATTTCTTGATTTTTTACTGTTGCAGCTGATCACGTTACCCTGACATTCGAACAATTTACCATGAGCTTAGACACGTTCACAGAGCTTAACAGCTGCACAGAGTCGTTTCTCGAGGTTCACGAAGGTCCGAGCATAAATGGACCCTCCTTGGGCAAATGGTGCAACAACGTTGTGCCTCTGCCTATAACGAGTACAGGGAATGCGCTCACGATACATCAATACGTTATGTTCTACCTCCAGGAACACTTTTCGTTAATTTATTCGACGCTGAACACAGGTGAAGAAACATCGTGCAATTTCCGTGGGTTCCCTATAACTCGATCAAGTCCAATATTTCAGCTTGCGGAGGCAACTACAGCTCCTATGCGGGGAAGATCGCCTCGCCGATGTACCCTAACAGCTACCCCCTGAATTCAGAGTGCGTCTGGTTCCTGAGGAATTCGCCCGGTAACAGGCTGAAGCTGACCTTCAGCGAGTTCGACCTGCAGCCAGGCGAGAACTGTGACCTCGACTATCTCGAGATTCGCGAGAACAACGGGATCGGAAAGTTGCTGGGCGTGTTCTGCGGGACCACCGCCGAGACTATCGAAACGTCGGCTTCGATCTGGATGAAGTTTAAAAGCGACGGCGACGGGGTGGCGAAGGGGTTCGTGGTCGATTATACCGTCGAGGGTGGAGATGAGCTCAGCGGACCAACCGGTCGGATCACCTCGCCTTTGTACCCCATGCCCATCAAAATCGGGCAACCAATCACATGGCGGATCACCGTCGATTATCAGCAGCTGATCAAGCTCGAGATCAAGGACATATTCATCGAGAGCTTCGGCCCCGGTTGCTTCTCCTATGTCCGAGTAAATAGCCCGCCGCAAATCTCCCTGCAAAACTGTCCTGCGATTTCTAATCAAACTGTTTCCGTTCACGCGGCTAGATCCACGACGGTTACAACGACGAGGCAACGGTTTTACTCGAGAGCTGCAACATGGAGAACTCTGGCCCCGTGACGTCGTCCACCAACGTCGTCTACATAGTAGCATTGGTAGAGTTCATCCGGTCAGGCAGCAGGTTCGACATCGTCTGGATCCAAGTGCCGACGACCGATAACGTCGGGGACATCGAGAGGCAACGTAAGTTGTAAATGATTCTCCAATAACGACCTTCGAACTTATTGCATCTAACAACACGTGGTACTGCAGTGAGCAACTGCACCGAGCTGGTCTCCTTGGACAGCCTCGACAACCACGATATTCATTCTCNTTCATTGCAACTGGAAATGAAATGTTGGTCGTAATGAGAACAGACAGCTTCATCACAGCGAAAGGATTCAAAGCGACGTACTCTTCAGCTTGCGGCGCTCGGCTGATAGTCAAGGATCAGGGATACCTATCGCCATCCTGGATTCATACCGACAATTCGGATATTCTGAACTGTACCTGGACATTGATCACGGAAGATCCAGGTATGTTCAAGATACGCCTGCCATGCGAACGCGAAATATTCGGAAACTCGATACCATCAACCCCAATACAGTAATTTCTCCCTAATTCGCGCTCAGATTGCGCATAAAAATGGACAATTTGGGAAGAGAAGATACGATTGTTCGAGCTTTGCGGCTCATTTTTGTAGTCACCGATTGTCAACAACTATAAAAACGCTCGAATTAGGAAGAAATTACTGCGTGCATAATCTTTCAAAAATCATGGTAAGAATCGGCAGAGACATAACTTCACGGAAAGAAATCATTCAGGAGCGCACAGTAAAAGTTTATTAAAGCTCTCACGCGAATTAATATAATCAGATTCATCCTGCGGGAAAAAATGTGAGACAACGCAGTGTTTTTCTCGCGCTAAATCAATCGTTCGCTGAACGCGCTACCACTTTTATGTTCGTCCTGCGAATCTATGAAATATCAGCCGTTTATTTCTTGATTTTTTACTGTTGCAGCTGATCACGTTACCCTGACATTCGAACAATTTACCATGAGCTTAGACACGTTCACAGAGCTTAACAGCTGCACAGAGTCGTTTCTCGAGGTTCACGAAGGTCCGAGCATAAATGGACCCTCCTTGGGCAAATGGTGCAACAACGTTGTGCCTCTGCCTATAACGAGTACAGGGAATGCGCTCACGATACATCAATACGTTATGTTCTACCTCCAGGAACACTTTTCGTTAATTTATTCGACGCTGAACACAGGTGAAGAAACATCGTGCAATTTCCGTGGGTTCCCTATAACTCGATCAAGTCCAATATTTCAGCTTGCGGAGGCAACTACAGCTCCTATGCGGGGAAGATCGCCTCGCCGATGTACCCTAACAGCTACCCCCTGAATTCAGAGTGCGTCTGGTTCCTGAGGAATTCGCCCGGTAACAGGCTGAAGCTGACCTTCAGCGAGTTCGACCTGCAGCCAGGCGAGAACTGTGACCTCGACTATCTCGAGATTCGCGAGAACAACGGGATCGGAAAGTTGCTGGGCGTGTTCTGCGGGACCACCGCCGAGACTATCGAAACGTCGGCTTCGATCTGGATGAAGTTTAAAAGCGACGGCGACGGGGTGGCGAAGGGGTTCGTGGTCGATTATACCGTCGAGGGTGGAGATGAGCTCAGCGGACCAACCGGTCGGATCACCTCGCCTTTGTACCCCATGCCCATCAAAATCGGGCAACCAATCACATGGCGGATCACCGTCGATTATCAGCAGCTGATCAAGCTCGAGATCAAGGACATATTCATCGAGAGCTTCGGCCCCGGTTGCTTCTCCTATGTCCGAGTAAATAGCCCGCCGCAAATCTCCCTGCAAAACTGTCCTGCGATTTCTAATCAAACTGTTTCCGTTCACGCGGCTAGATCCACGACGGTTACAACGACGAGGCAACGGTTTTACTCGAGAGCTGCAACATGGAGAACTCTGGCCCCGTGACGTCGTCCACCAACGTCGTCTACATAGTAGCATTGGTAGAGTTCATCCGGTCAGGCAGCAGGTTCGACATCGTCTGGATCCAAGTGCCGACGACCGATAACGTCGGGGACATCGAGAGGCAACGTAAGTTGTAAATGATTCTCCAATAACGACCTTCGAACTTATTGCATCTAACAACACGTGGTACTGCAGTGAGCAACTGCACCGAGCTGGTCTCCTTGGACAGCCTCGACAACCACGATATTCATTCTCCTGGCTGGCCAAATGGATACTCGGATAACCTGCAATGCACCTGGCTGGTCACCTGTCCGCCAGGCTCGCACATAGTCCTGAGACTGATCAACCTGGACATAGAGGAGTCCGACACCTGCTTCGCGGACTCGTTGTCGGTTTACGACGGCGATGCGCTGAACACGCCGGAGAACGCCAAGCTGTTGGAGAAGATGTGTCTATCGAATTCCTCGCACACTCAGCTCCAAGCGAGCGACAACGTGATGACCATAAAATTCATCTCGGACAGCTACGTCAACAAGACAGGGTTCTACGCGTTCGCCCGTCGTGGTAAATTTATCCGCGAAACTCCTGACTGCTCGCGCTCCGACATCTCCTCTAATCTGTTTGTCAGGTCTAAGCAAGACGTTTCTGTTGTTAATTGCAGAGTGCGGAGGCAAATTGTCCGGTCCGAACGGAGAGATCGCCGTGGACACCTCTTCCACGGGCGGCAGGGGAGTTCGTAACTGGCAGGTGTCCTGCGAGTGGGACATTCGGGTGAAACCTGGGCGAACTATAATGTTAAATTTCCTCGAGGTGTCGCCGATTCGTGACTTGAATTGCGCGGATAATTACATACTGGTGAGACACTCGAGTGAACTAAGTATCTAAAATAACTTAGGACACGAATAAATAGATCGTCCAATCTTCTCTGTAGGATCTTCAATAATTGTGTAGAGTTTTAATGTGGCCGGTGATCAAGTGATCGCTTAATGAAACAAATAACTCATTGAACGTCCTTTCTAGTTGAAAAATGGCGACAAGACATCGTCCGACTTGCTGGGCGATGGTAACTATTGCGGCAACATAATGCCCCCGGACTTGGAGTCCTCCGGAAATCGCCTTTATGTGAAATATGCCAGCATTCGACCGAGAGCTCGCCTAAAGATATCCTACAGGTGAGAAATCATGGATCCCCAATCCGCCTGACGTAATTTGTTGCGTAATTTGTTGCGCGCGTGTATTAACTTATTCGCTAAATTCCAGGGAAGTCAGCCTGAATTGCGGAGGCGAGTACATACTTAAAGGCAAAACATTGAACATCTCGACGCCGAACTACCCTAATATTCCACCACCGTACTCGGAATGCACGTGGACCATTATGGCGCCGAGCAGGGAACGACTGTCCATCCACTTCGTCGATAGATTCGACTTGAGAAACACTCCCGAGTCAGTTTGCCGCTGATCAGTTGATCGTTGACTTCCGCGTGAATCCAGATCTTAGTTGTCCATGTTCTTTGATTCCCCTGTCGAAGTATTATGTGCTTCGTTCTCCCATCGAATCCCGTTTGAAAATAATTTTATGTTCAATAGGGAATTAAATTAGCAATAAGGAAAATGAAAGTTTCAATCGAAAGTGAGGAAATGCGCGACAATGAAAATTACTTTCAGTTGCGAGAGGGAATACGTGGAGGTAAGAGACGGCGGAACTCAAAGCTCGAAGATGCTGGGACGATTTTGCAGTAACGTTGCGCCTAGCACTATGTTAACCACTGGAAACATGGTGTTGATACATTTCTTCTCGGAGCTGTTGGAGCCAAGGAATGGCTTCAAAGTAAAGATCTCTATCGGAGGTGCGTCTTCGCTCGTCTCTTCTGATATTAATCAAAAATGTCCTCGAATGTACCTGAAACACAACCAGTTGAAGGAAAAACAAGTATAATCGATCAAATGATTTATTCTCATTCTCAGAGGGTTGCGGAGGCACCATTCGAGGTACCGCTGGTGTGCTAACGTCGCCTAATTATCCGTTCTACTACAAACAGAACCTGACGTGCACCTGGGTGATAATCGCGCCGGCCGATCACACTGTTAAGTTGCAGTTCAGCGACTTAAATCTGCCAGTCGCCTTCCAGTGCGAGTTGACCGATCATGTGGTCATCGGCGACAGGAATCCGGAGAACGAAACGAGTATGCGAATCACCTTGAAACCGGTCTATCGCGAATTTATTCAAGGGCAAATCTTTGCGTCTTAGTTTCATTAGACATCATATGATCTTTGTGGAAGGTCATTATTTAGTCAATGTAGTTTATTAGGCCATGGTAGATAGCAATGGCTTTTCGTCGATTCGATGCATATTTAATGTAATGTAATGTCTAATTTAATGTAATATTCTGCCTCCGGCAGAATATATTTCATGAATGTGTCATAAATATGGACGCTAAAGAAATGTGCGATGATGAACGTGATGCGACAATGATCATGCAATAACAAATTAGAATATATTTAAGTTCTTTCTCGCTCAGGCGTCAACAAAATCACGACCATCTGCGGCGATAACGAGTCCACTGTCTTCGAAACGTCAACGAACGAGGCCGTGATACAATTCAAGACCGACAACTTCGAGTACCATAATTACAGAGGGTTCAAGCTGAACTTCACGTCCAGTAGAGATGGTACGCTAATCGATGAACGGTACATTTTCCATCGTTCCAACGATCTTTGTTCATAGAAAAATATACGATACTTTTTGTCATAGTTTGCGGGGGTTATCTGACCGCATTAAGCGGCGTACTAAAGTCAGAAGGATATCCGAACGGTAGCAGACGTCACAGGTGAGCGACATAATCTATAAGCCAAATCTACACGGACTTAGTTTCGTATTCTTCTCAAGAACACATTTTCATAACGAAAGTGTCACTGTTGCAGACACTGCGCCTGGAAGATTAAGGTACCGCTCGGCTTTCAAGTAGTCCTGAACATTGAAGACATTGATGAATCTAACTTACGCTCGACTATGCGTATGGATGTCCTAACAGTAATTATTATCCATCAAATTATTCGAAGGAAATTCCATGAAAATTCCGCGATAATCCTAAGCTTCCTTTGAAAATTTCAGGTGTACAACGACTTCAAATACAGAACCAAGATCCATTCAACGAATCAGAACAGTGCTCTGCAAGTTAGGAGCTCCACTAACGTCATGGCCATTGCATACACCTCGTCCCCTGGGGCCCGAGGATTCAAAGCACACTACTCTTCCCGATATCCAGCTCGTGAGCTGCTACCAATCTTTCTATTGTGATAGGCTAAAGGACAGAACTAACTAACAAACCAAATCGGACGATTGTTTCAGCCTGCGGCGACATGATGATCAACATGAAAGGTAATCTGTCAACACCGAGAACTTCGCCGTTCAACGAGTCATCGTTCTACTGCGCGTGGACCATAAAAGCACCTAAACGCCTAACAGAAGGCGCGGGCAGCACTGGAGTGACACTGTCTGTTTGGGTAACTGGTGTCATAGGTGAAATGCGAGGCACATCCAGTTGGAAATATTGCTACAACTATCAATTTATCAGCCTTGTCGGTGGGTTCACGAACGCTTCAGCTACCAGAATAATCTTTGAACTCCGCGGCCTAATTACAAAATTTATTAACACTAAACCTGCCAAGCCGTAAAAGTAACTAACGGCTACTTACTTAAGCCTTGCGCCATTTGTGCTTGGATCAAGAATTTTGTTCAATCATCGTTTATAAAAGAGTTTATAATTTCAGCAACTTTAAAGCAAAAGATGTGAAATCAGTCGTTTCGACCGACTCGGTAGGTTTAATGTTAAAATTCTTTCCCTGTATATTTAATGTATCTAATTTCGCAGACTATGGCCAGATCTGCGGAACCATCAAGGAACCAAAGTACCTTAGGAGTCCAAACCCTATCAACGAGGTGGTGGTAAGCTGTCGAGAATGATTGAATCGCCCGGTCAATATAAACTCCTCATTCACAATTGTTAACGATTTCGCAGATTGTGAACGGTACTTACGGGAAACCAATGTCTATCAACGCGCAGTATGAATGGCAACCTTGCGGCGGTGTCTTGGAAGGTCCAACGCACGAGATAGAAACACCGACGAATATATCCTTCCCTATTAGCTGCGCCTGGAACATTAATTATCCCGACGATGGGGAACTAATAAAACTGAGCTTCTCGAAGATGAACCTGAGCTCTTGCGAGAAAACCTACGTCACCATCAGGTACCCAGCACACCTGTCTCATATATTTCTGCTGGTAGCTTACGTCCATTGACAGTGATATTTCGACAATTTCGTGTTGAACCCTTTACATCAGCTTTTATTACGGGCTATTGATTGTTCAATATTTTCTGCGACCATTTGTTTCGAGCGTTTTAATTGGAGTCGAAGCTTTCGATTTACGCTTATTGCATTCGTTTCCTCAGGAATGGCGGACCACTCGCGCCACTAATCGGCACCTACTGCGGGAACATAAAGCCAGCGAACATAACAAGCTCCAAAAACCGATTGTGGATCGAGTTCTTCGCGAAGAGCGAGCCGAACGAGTTCAAGCTGACTTTGGAGGGGGCGAACAACGGCTGCGGAGGAACTGTGCGCGGCAAGATCAAACAAATCGCTTCTCCAAAGTAATCGAAGCCGCGGGATGATCGAACGTTTCACGGTGATTTAGCTGTTCATACAACAGGAATTTGTTTGATTGCACAGGTTCCCGGACCAGTACCCGAACAAGGCAGATTGCAGCTGGGAAATTGTCGCCGATAATGGCTACCACATCGGATTGGTTTTCACCAATCGTTTCAATCTGGAGAGCAGCCAGAACTGCACCAATGATTATGTAGAGGTACTTGGAAAATTCAGCCTAAGAAGTTCTCTGTTGTCGATAATTCTGCAAGATCAAATGTTAATCGCAGTTAAACAATTTTGCACAGTCACTCTTGTTATCCGAAACGAGAAACATATGGGGGCCTTTCACTTTTCGAACCGTGTCTGCTTCCTTCGAACTATAAGTGTCCGAACCGAAGCTACTAAGCGACAATGATTTCCAAACAGATGTTCGACTGGATAGAAGGTCTGGAGGGCGACAGAACCTGGAAGAGTCTAGGAAAAGTGTGTGGCAGAAATACGCCCCCGCATTTCAATTCGACCAGCAATCGTATGAAGGTCACCTTCCACTCCAACGACAAAATCCAAGGGGATGGTTTCATGGCCCTCTGGTACGAGAATTGCGGCGGGATCTTCGAAGTCACCGAGAAGACACAAACCATCTCGTCCCCATCTTATCCGAACATGTACAGACCGAACTTGTTCTGCAATTACACTCTGGTCGCTCCTGAGCATGACATCGTCGTCAAGTTCACGGAATTCCAGCTTGAACGCAGTAAGCCGCCGTCCACATCACTGCTATCTGACATCGTTATCGTTAGACTGCGGATTGTATGCATTTATAAAAGAACTGGATAGATGAAATTCGAAACGGTGAAAACGTTTAAACAATTTAAGGAAACTATTGTATCACGTTCAACTCATTAAGCTTATTGAAAGAAGGCTTAAGCTTATTAAGATTGACTGCATCTTGCAGTCAATGCAGACAATTTTTATTTTGCATTAAGATCCGCAGTCCGCGGTTATCATTGCTCCTCGTCCAAAGTATTCAACGTTTTCTTGATAACTGGGGATGATTGTAACAGTAGATTGTCTTGGTTCCAGGTCGCAGGGACTGTCGATTTGACAACGTGACGATAACGTACGAAGATATTATGTACTCCTACACCTCCACCGACACTTATTGCGGCAATAATGAACCGTTGCCGGTCTTATCGAAGAACAAAGTGGAGATTATATTCAGAACGGATCCCTACATTCAACGACATGGCTTCGTCTTCCAATACCTTCTCAAATGTGCGATAAACAAGCATTTGATCTCGAACGTTCTGAAACAATTTTATTAGAAGTTCATGTTCTGATTCAAAGCCTGATCTCTTTCTTATTGTACTGTAGCTCCATGTATTCACTTGAGCTATGAAATATTGAATTAATAGGACCACTTGCGGGCGAACAATTAATATTCTGCTTTTCTGCAGCTTGTGGTGGAGAGATGACAAAACCAGGAAGGATCGAGCCGCTTATGCGAGGTGACAAATACTTTGGCGGAGTGTCCTGCTCTTGGACAATCCGTGCACCCCCTGACAAGAATGTCGTTCTACGTTTCGAGAAGTTCATCCTGGAACATAGCCACTCGTGAGTAAAATTCGGCAGATCTTCGCGTAGGCAGCCAAAGTGTGCAGCAACTGAAGCAGAAGAATCTTTTGCATTTGCAATTCTCTCTGACCAATTAGTTATTAAATCAAGATGGCATTGATCGGAATAAATTGCTTAAAAAATGCTATAATTTCTTCAGTAAATCTTGAAAGCAGTCCAGGTTGCCTGGACAAGAGTAGATCACAGCTCGATGGGATTTGGATTTTGAACATTCTAAAACGATTCAAATCGTTCGCAGGTGCTTCTATGACCGCATCGATATCTACGACGGCACGAAAGAGGACGATGATAACAAGCTGGCCCGGTTGTGCGGCGATCTAACCGATAACTTGCCTATAATCGCATCAACGAACAACACCATGTTTGTGTATTTCCACTCGGACACGAACCGAGAATACGAAGGATTCATGGCCGAGGTTCGCGTTATAATAGCTTTCACATCTGTCTCGCTAACTGCAATTCAGTAGACAAAACGAATCGATCTAGTTTTAATAAATTTCCTATCGACAACGTCTCAGGTCCGGTTTGTGAAGAGCTTCGACGCAGGCTGCGGCGGCAACATTAATCTGTTATCAAAGGACGCGTCAAAACCGTTTAAAACACAGATGGGTTCCACTTACGAGAGCCTGGAGGACTGCTTCTGGGTCGTTAAGGCAGCTCCGGGAATGAACATCAAGTTCACCATCAACAGCATGGACCTCAAGAATGCTACCAAGAAAAACAGCAACGGAGCATGTACTGGCGATTTTCTGGAGGTAACGATCTTCGATCTCTTTGGAGAACGTGATAATCGCATTTCTAACTGTTGGTAATCATTGGGAAGATTTCGGAAGGATGTTTGTTGAGAGAGTTCTTTTTGTCTAGATTCGCGACGGTGCGAGTCCTTTCTCCGAACTTCTGGGCAGGTTCTGCGGCAATCAGGCGCCACCGGCGATATTTACTACCTCGAATACCATGTGGATACGATTTTACAGTGATGGAACAATCGAAGGAGCCGGAGTCAGTGGAACGTTGGACGCTGTAAATGGTACGCGAGGTTCCGCCCGGGAGAATAATTTCTCGAAGTTGATCGGATTCGACATTCACAGTAACAGGATGCACTTGCGAATTCTCCAATCGAGAACTACTTATCCGATCGAGTCGATTGCATATTAAAATCGTCCAGGAAGGTCCGACCTGCCGTAGGAATTTCCGTTATCATTGAGAAATTGATCGGTGTTTTAACAAGCGCAAGACTATAACAGCAGAAATTTTCAACGCGTGCTCAGGGAAGAATAAATCGTTTCAGCGTTCTGCGGCATTCCCGTCTGGACGGTGAACAAGACGATGCAGGTCCTAACTTCTCCGAAGTACCCTAAGGACTACGGAACGGGTGTAAAGTGCCGGTGGTTGTTGCGAGTAGAGTCCTCCGATTCGGAGAAACTGAGGATTGCATTCTTGGACCTCGATTTGGCCGAGTCTGCTCGGTGCGACACCGATTACCTCGAAATTACGGACAAGCAGGTAGAACATCGCTCTACGAGTTTTATTATCAATGTTACCTGTCGCTAAGAATGATATTTTTTACCCCCAGAACCGGAAATACATCGATGAAGGCTTCGGACAGAATTTCGTTTGGGGCGGACACTCGGCTGACCAGTACACGGTAATTAAATTCTACGTTCGAAACAAAGCATAGCACACATGACAATGAAAAAAACAATGAAAAATTCACTCTCGTAGGATTTCCACTTGCCGACGACCACGGCCAGGTATTGCGGCAAAGAACTGCCCCATCAGTACTATAGGTAACCAAACTCAATTCTTACAGAAGTCGCCTGCTAAAACACCCTAAGTAAGCTGAGTAGCTTAAGACTCCCGTTACATACGTCTTCGTTTATTGCTACAGCTCCAGCAGCGAGATTACGATAAGCTTCAAAGGCGACACCGTCGGCCATAGAGGATTCAAGATTGAATTCGACAACGCAGCCTGCAGTCAAAATTACACCTCGGCGCAGGGTCGACTCGTCCACGAAGGAACCACCGAATGCTGGAACACGATCACAGCGCCAGCCAATCACACCATCGCGTTGTACTTCAACAGATTCATATTTTACAACATGGAGGGGTGCACGAAGACCGCTGTCGAGGCAAGCATCTGAATCGAAATCCTGTAACGCGAACTGAAACTCACATCGTATGCTTCCACTGGCCAGGTTTTCGAAGGCGGCTTCAATGGCAAACGTTTGGCATCGTTGTGCGGCATAGAGACGCCTGTTCCTATTTTCAGCGTCGGTAACAAGCTGAGCATACACTCCTGGAGTGAATTTCAGTCCATGTACGAGTACTATGACATCACTTATACGACAACGGATGCAGGTGCGCGAGAAGATTCACGAATTAACATTTTACGAGACGTTTTTAATTTTAGTTGGTCATTGAATAATAGTGGACAACGCGGTGTTGAGTTTGTTCCGCAGGCTTGGCCTTCTTCTACCCTTAACGGGGGATCTAAGATTATGTGCACATAGCACTTGCTGACAATAATGATGACTGAGAATGATATTCTTAACTGAGAATAATATTCTTAACGCTAGATTTACGGAGCACATAAAAAGCAGCTGTTTTATATTAGTTTATAAAAGTAACAATAAGACATTTATTCTGATTTTTAACAAGTCTTATTGTAACATTTGCCGTAAGTAACGTATAAATTAAATAAATAACTCATAAATGTATCTTTAGCCGTCATTTTTACGGGTTCCGTTAATCTAGTGTTAATAAGCCCTTAATAGATCGCTTGCACTAACTAATACGTTGGAACCGAGAGAAATAATTGTGAAATTGTTGTCTGCATCCTTAAATTATCGAGTAAAGTGTGTAATTAAATTCAGCTAGGTAAAATACATAAAAATGACAGAATGCGAGCTGAAAAGATTCGAGACAGTCCAATTAATGAAAACAATGACGACTTGCAGGTCGCGGTTGCGGAGGCCGGATTTACAATTATGCAGGGTCATTCACGTCACCTCTGTATCCGAACGAGTACCGCAACAACACTATTTGCACCTGGGACGTGAGTGTGCCACGCGGCTTGAAGGTCGCGTTGAAATTCGTTGTATTTGACATCGGCACCACCACCAGCTGCGAGACCAAGGCGAACTCCCTGAAGCTTTACGACCCTGCGCCGGACGGTGAACCTATCCTGGCCAACACTTATTGCGGAGGGGTAATCTTTACCGATTAGAATTTCATGCCGCGATCGTTCAACCCCTCGGTCTTTCCCGGCACAGTCTAATATAAATTCTTCCGGATTCAGGACACCCCAGCGCCGTTTTACAGCACTAAAGAACAAATCATCGTGGAGTACACGTCGACGATGAACAACGTTGGGACCGGTTGGATGNGTATGCTTCCACTGGCCAGGTTTTCGAAGGCGGCTTCAATGGCAAACGTTTGGCATCGTTGTGCGGCATAGAGACGCCTGTTCCTATTTTCAGCGTCGGTAACAAGCTGAGCATACACTCCTGGAGTGAATTTCAGTCCATGTACGAGTACTATGACATCACTTATACGACAACGGATGCAGGTGCGCGAGAAGATTCACGAATTAACATTTTACGAGACGTTTTTAATTTTAGTTGGTCATTGAATAATAGTGGACAACGCGGTGTTGAGTTTGTTCCGCAGGCTTGGCCTTCTTCTACCCTTAACGGGGGATCTAAGATTATGTGCACATAGCACTTGCTGACAATAATGATGACTGAGAATGATATTCTTAACTGAGAATAATATTCTTAACGCTAGATTTACGGAGCACATAAAAAGCAGCTGTTTTATATTAGTTTATAAAAGTAACAATAAGACATTTATTCTGATTTTTAACAAGTCTTATTGTAACATTTGCCGTAAGTAACGTATAAATTAAATAAATAACTCATAAATGTATCTTTAGCCGTCATTTTTACGGGTTCCGTTAATCTAGTGTTAATAAGCCCTTAATAGATCGCTTGCACTAACTAATACGTTGGAACCGAGAGAAATAATTGTGAAATTGTTGTCTGCATCCTTAAATTATCGAGTAAAGTGTGTAATTAAATTCAGCTAGGTAAAATACATAAAAATGACAGAATGCGAGCTGAAAAGATTCGAGACAGTCCAATTAATGAAAACAATGACGACTTGCAGGTCGCGGTTGCGGAGGCCGGATTTACAATTATGCAGGGTCATTCACGTCACCTCTGTATCCGAACGAGTACCGCAACAACACTATTTGCACCTGGGACGTGAGTGTGCCACGCGGCTTGAAGGTCGCGTTGAAATTCGTTGTATTTGACATCGGCACCACCACCAGCTGCGAGACCAAGGCGAACTCCCTGAAGCTTTACGACCCTGCGCCGGACGGTGAACCTATCCTGGCCAACACTTATTGCGGAGGGGTAATCTTTACCGATTAGAATTTCATGCCGCGATCGTTCAACCCCTCGGTCTTTCCCGGCACAGTCTAATATAAATTCTTCCGGATTCAGGACACCCCAGCGCCGTTTTACAGCACTAAAGAACAAATCATCGTGGAGTACACGTCGACGATGAACAACGTTGGGACCGGTTGGATGATCAACTTCAAGGCTGTACGAGAGGGGGAAACATTGACAAATTGATACGCCGTGAACCGATGATGATGATTTACAAAAATATTTATTCTTCGAAGTAATATATGCATACATTCCGTGGGCTAACGTGTGAGCTGCGTTTATCGTCCGCTCCGCCAAAGCCTTCTAACGCTAAGAACTTCGTCAACATCATCGAGTAAACCCATTGTTTGTACATAAGGAGTGCAACGATGTCGGAGTCAGTGGTTACGACTCGTCTCGTGGGTAGCAATTAAATAAATGAGACTTGATATAAAATGCGTTCTGATTAACGAACGTCCAGAAAACGCGAATTGAGCAACTCACGCGTGAAACAAACATATTTTCTGTTCGTGTCATCGTATCGTTGGAATCGCAAGAGTTACGATCAACGGCCCCATAAAACATACTAACTCCGCATCACTGATACGAACGATTACAATATTCGAACACAACGCTGAAGTATTCACATGTTCGAGCATCACGCCTGGTCGCACTCCTGGACGCCATTCGCATCTTCATTGCCTTCGCTCACTTTCTGGCAGCTTTGCGACTCTACGTCGTCGACTTCCTCATCCTGTGTTTCCGGTTCTTCGTCCCCTGCGACTTCCTCCGCCTCCGCTACTTCCTGTTTCACTGCTCTCTTCTTCCTGTCCTTGCCTTCTTTATTCTTAGCAGCCCTCTTTTTATCCTTTTTCGTTTGAGACTTCGCTTTGGGCTCCTCTACCTCAGCTTCCACGGGCTCCTCTTCCACTTCCGGTGCCGTTTCCTTCTTCTTCTTCTTCTCCTGGAGCTTCTTCTTGTCTTCTTTCATCGGTTTCTCACCCTTCCCAGCCTTCTTGATGTTCACTTTCTTCGATTTCTTGCCTTCCACGGTAATCTCCTCTTCGACCTTCGATTTCACCTTGTCTTTCACCTTGTCCTTCGTCTTCTTCTCCTTCAAGGTCTTCTTGGAGTCCTTCTGATACACCCCCTGCGTCTCCTTGGTATATTTGCTCGACTTCTTCTTCTTGTCCTTGACAACTTCGCCGTTCTTTCCCTTGGCGTCAGCATTCTCCTTCTCCTTCAACTTCTTGTTCTTCGATTTCACCTCTTTTCCAGGCTTAGCTTCGTCCGCTCCGGAGTTGGCCTCGGCTTCTTTGCCCTCGGAAGAGCTGCTCTTCCTCTTCTTCGACTCCACCTTCTTGCTCTCGCCGTTTTCAGACTCTGCTTCCCTGGAAGAAAGAAATCGATCGAGTATTTTCTCACCAATTATTGTGGCAACAGCACGAAACAATTACAATGTAGTCTCTGAAAATAACCGTAAATGATCCTCGATCAAGTTTTAGGATGCTGTTTTATTATCGGGCAGCGAATATCACGCGTTCGCAGCTCTTCTGACCTTTCGTGGCTTGTCAATATGTCGTTATGCCGTTGAATGATAAGTGCAATTATAGCCGGTACGTTGTAAAAAGAGAAAGATTAAGAGAACGATGACACGCTGAAGATTGGACATCCGTTTCTTCGGACGCTTTTGAAATTTCTGCAACTTGCGGATATTTGTGCGAATGTAGATTTTTCATATTGCACATGTTTCACGTATTTCGCGTGCAAAACAGATTTCTGAAATTACACATTTCTTGTATATTCTGTATGCTTTCCTTCTGTTGTCTGTTCCTTCTGTAAAACTAATGAATTCTACTCGATTTTAAATTCAATTTATACAATTTTAATATTTTAAATCTCGTAATTACAACCATAAATTCACACTACTATTATTGGTACCATGATTTTTACTCAGTTGGTATTAGGCCCCTAATTTTAGGCCAATCAAATTAACCACCGATGATTTTCTATTTTGATCAGCTGAATTTGGCATATAAAAAAATCATAACATATAAAAGAAAACAAAATAACGAAATCATAAAATTTGTATTGACTCGATTAAAAATGTACTAGTGTTAATTTTCAATTAAAATTCATTCTATCAATTGTACCACCGTACAATTTGTCGAAACAATTTCTCATAAAAACTAACTGATCTGTAACTTCCATGTGACTGGAATATCGACGACAGCAAAGATGTGTAAATAGAAACGTTGAGCGTCAACGGAAATGTATTAAGATGTTAGTATGATATAACCGTCGTCGAAGAACTGAACCGTGAGATCCTGTGTACCATACCGATTATGTTGAATATTGTCGAAGGAGTTTGAAATCGATCGAGCGAATCTTGAGATACCGAGACAGCCGATTTGACAAGCACAGTTTGCTGACAAACAAGATTGCAGTACAATGCCCAGCAGATTAGACTGTTACAACTTTCGATCGCTATAACTTCGTGAATTCGAAGGTTTCTTTACGGACACACATATCTTCAAAATCGTTTTCTCGAAGAGGATGCGAAAAGAGTTGACATTTCCCGAGTTCTAGACAAGAATAGTTCTCGTCAGTTGCTTCTCAAAGTATTATTATCTTCTGTGATTCACACGCTCAGTCTGTTTACTCACGAAATCCGACCCTTTAAAAGATACTTCTCTACTCGATAACAACGTCTTCTACAAACACCAGCTTCCGTAACTTATTCCTATCAATTTATCTGAATGCATTAGATTGCGTAATAAGTCTGTCCGCGTTCTCTCGTAAGAAACTCATTAACACATTACACTTATTATACAATCTCAGCCTAATCTACCCTGTCTTAAAGCAGACACTTTCAGCTTTCATTTAAGCTGAGTCGCATAGAAACAGCCCTACGAGAACGTATCTTAAGATCCGTCTGAGCTTTTCCTTTTGAATCTCGCGAACCTAAAATCTCGTCAGAAGTCGATTCCCTTTAATTTTTCAAAACGATCTCGTCGTTCGATCGCGATCTAATCTACCCTACCTTAAAGTAGACACTTCCAGCTTTCATTTAAGCTAAGTTGCATAGAAACAGCACTACGAAAACCTATCTTGAGATCCGTCTGAGCTTTTCCTTTTGAATCTCGCGAACCTAAAATCTCGTCAGAAGTCGATTCCCTTTAATTTTTCAAAACGATCTCGTCGTTCGATCGCGATCTAATCTACCCTACCTTAAAGTAGACACTTCCAGCTTTCATTTAAGCCGATTTGCACGGAAATAACCCCACACATCTCAAAAATGACGAACAATCGCTTTGCGAATTCGTATAATTTTCCTTGTCTGTTCCTAGGTGTCCACGGTCCGCGGACTTATTGCACAATCTGACGCATTCAGAATGCATCTGAAACTCGAAGAAACATTTTTTGCGATCTCTGATACAAGCGTGGCCCCCTTAACGACTTCCCGTCGGCATCGGAAGCAAAGTCCGTCAAACGGAGAGGTCCCGATAAGACGATCGCGGAAACGGTTGTGCAACAGTCCATCGAAACGAACGCGAACAAATCGTTTGAATGAACTGTCTACTCACTTCGAGTAAGCCACGTCCCTCTTCTTCTTCTCGCTGCCTCCCGATTCTACATCGTTGGACCGTTTCTTCGCGAACGTCTCGCCGGCCAGCACCGCGACGATCAGGAGAAAGGTGAACAGCAGCCAGATTCTGAGGAAATTCGGACGATTAAACGATAAATCGAGCGACGGGGAACGGTGCCGCGAAACCATTCAGCGACTCGGCTCACCGCATTTCGGCTTCCCTTGTTGCCTCGGCTCACTAACTGTCGATAAACACGTCCCCGGATCAGCACGATCACAGCCACGATCCAGCACGACACTGACTGCCGTTCGTCGGCCTCCCTTATATCTTATACGTGTCTCCGTTGATATCTCGATAAACACGCGTGGCTCCCTGTCGCAACGTTCCAGCGGCTCGCGAAGATACCGGCGCAGATATCGCCTAAGTCGATCGTCGATTCTTAAACGTTCGATCGAGCGTAATTGATCTTCTCTCTGGGATCGCTGACGAGCGGCCGCCGGTCAATGTTTCGGCCGCAACTTGACGGAGAAGGCGCAGAGCTTAGGAACAAAGGTATCACGGAACATCGGGAGAACTTGTTCATTTCGAATCGAATCGAATTTGATAAGAAACGACTCGAAGACGGTCGCGTAGAGAAATAATTACGATAATTGTCGAACGTCGGTGAAACGGTCGTCGACGGAGTTCATTTTTCTATAGGACGGTTGCAGAAGCTGTGACAGAAGGATGCAGACGATATGAAATTTAAATCGCTTTTCTCGTTGGTCATAAATAACTTCCGATGCAGCTAGTTTCACTAAACAGATAAGGGTTCGAAATAAATGAAATAGAAAACAAAGCAAAGAGAATGAGTAAGAAAAAGACACAAAATAAATGTCTGATAAAACGGAAATTATTTATGACGTCGACCTGATAATCAGCACAGCTGAGTGCAGCGTGCGACAGAAATTCGACCGCGATAGTACATCGTGCTCGAATAGATTGCGGTTCTCCCGCGACAAATTCCTGACGATGATCTGGCTTCTGTGTACCCGATTGAAACGAAACCTCCGGACTAATCAAACGAACACGTTTATTCGACGCAGATTCTTGTCGATCTCGCGTATGTTGGATCGAAACGGGGATCGAAGGTTCGCACCACCGAAGTTCTATTTTACGTTGCTACAGCAACATGCTAACGCGTTATTCCGTTCCCATGCGAAAGTGTCCAAGCGTCTGATACTTATGAATACGACCGGACAGAAGCGATTCTCCGTTTGAGGTCCGAAGTTCGAGTGCCGGAACGATTCTCGCGAACAATGTTGTCTCGGCTGGTCTCGAATGGAAACGCGGAGGAACACTGTTCCGGAAATAGCGGAGGCCTCCGTTCCTTCCCATTCATCGGGATCCTCCTCGATCAGTTTCTCCGTCTGATCCCGTTTTTTTCTTCCGTTGTCCCCGTTGTCGGCTTCGCGCCGCGGCTCCCAGCCTCGGCTGTTTAATACACACCGAGATAATTGGGTCGGCACCTATCTAATCAGCGCACTCGCGAGCCCCGACGTCGGCGGGCACTCGACGGAAACGCCGTGACAAACAACCGTTTCGTTCTGCAGGTAATTTCCAGAAAGTCTCGAAACGAGATCATCCCGATGACGTCTGCTGGCCAGACGCGGAAGGCACGGAAACCTTTGCACGTCGCGTTACGTCGATTTCTTTCGTCGACTGTGTCCGTTTTCTAGACTTAAAACTTCATTGTTGTTCTGATAATTGAGCGCAGCTACAATCTCAACTTTTGCCGGCTTTCGTTTCTCGTATTAACAGGTTTTCAGTGGCTGCAGAGCACTCGAGATAAGCTTAGGAATTTTATTTTCGGTGATTAATCCCTCCCGCGAAGCTATTAGATTATTCGAAACAATGTTGTTTTCTATCTTCGAAACACGAAACACGAAACGATACGTCCGTATAAGTACATTCGTCTAATTCAGTTTCATGCGGTAAACAAGTGGTGAAAGTCTTGCAAAATTCGGATCAGCTTTCTTTTTGGAACGCCTGGACCGGCCGCCATATTGTCGGGTTCCTAGCGCGAGATGTTTCACAATGAAAATTTTCTCCCAGCTCGGTGTGCGTGTGCTTTTCTAATACGTACCCGTTTTGGTGACATATGGCAGGGTTTTTATTGATAAAATAATGAAAAGACTCGGGTGAACACGTGTCGCGAGATCAAAATTTCTGAATTTCTAATTCGTCCTAGAGGGCTCGCTTTTGAATGTTCCCCTTTGCCAGGTGACACGATAAACAAATACGGACAGAAAGCTGGACGGATGTCCGAGAATATCCACGATTATCGCGAAAGTTGCTAGGCGCCGACCGCTGGAGAACGCTATTCTTGGTGAACTTGTCACGGGATCGAGCGTGGGAGTTTCAAGGCTGATTTTCTTGGGCCGATCCGAGCTATTTTCGAATTTCGGCTGGACAATCGTCTGCTCCTCTACAGTTTATGATCATCCGTGTCTGATCCAGCCTTCTTCGACGATCTGAAGATCGTACAACGAAGAACACGGAAAGCTGTTTGATCTTTGAAATTTGAAATTGCACACGCGAGAATGTATGTACAGTAAATTCTCCCATATTTCCCTGCAGTTTGTGAACAAAAATGGACAATCTGGAAAAAAGGGAATACGATTATTCGAGTCTCGCGGCTTATTTTTATAGTTGCCGGTTGCCGACAATTGTAAAATTGTTGATAAATTATTGTTAAATAAAATTAAAATATTGTTTTAAAAAATGAAAATTTTATTTAAATGATCGTTAATCATTTAAATGGCCACATTAGTCAATTTTCGGCAATTAAATGAAATAAATGGCTGTTACACTGGGAGCAGCAAAAAGACTAATAAATCTGCGTGAAATATTTTCAACGATACGTCTGGAAAAACTGTTGATTAAAGCACAGAATTGTTTTATAAACATCGTCAATTGTATAATTGTGAAAATGGTCCGCCGTTCGAGGACTTAAGTCGATTTTAATCGAGTATTTCAGAGATCGGTTTCTCGCGGCGCACTTTTCTGCAAAACAAGGCAAGAGACCAGCAAGAAACATCGCTCTAATACCTTGAGGAGATAAATGAAATGCGTAAATTGGCATTTTTCCGCGTCTCTTTATCAATTCGCTGGGTCGTTCGCACGTCTTATCTTCCGATTGTTCTACCGCGTCGTTCTAAAAGCGTCCTTCTCGAATTGAATCCACGTCAATCGACGATCATCCGCAACAGTATCGTGGTCAAATTTGATTTGCTGCTAGCACGAATGCGTCGCAATCCTCCACTTCAAATCCGATTCATCCGATTCGCATCTCTCAAGATTGCGTGATGCAATCGGTCACCCGGTGCGGATCACTTGGCCACAACAATTTCGTTTCGAATCAAAATGCAACACGTCATCTATTCGATTCTTAAATTCGCTTTACTGGAGAAACATCATTTTTCACCCGGATGAAGTTAATTAATATCAGATAAGCATCTGTGATCGGCGCATTCTTGCCAAAGAGCGTTTGATAGACTTTAGAGCGAAGATGGGAATCATTATAATTCCGTAAATAACAAAAATCAAGATATTAAAAAAAGACAAATGTCCGACGACGATCACGGATTATTGCGAAGAGAGTAGAAATGCCTCTGTTCTTGCGATAATTTTAATTAATTAAGTTGATATTAAATGCAGAAGTTCTCTAGGATTTTAGCGGATATTATTAAATAAGTAAATGAATATAAAAAAGACAAGAATAAAGGCGTGCGTCTCTGCATTTGTATCGTATTAGTTTCCATAAACATCTGCAATCTAGTTATATCTCTGTACGCGTGTACCCATAAATAATGAACAAGGAGAACTCGTGAGTGATTTATCACGACTGAGCAGCGATGGTAGAAAAATAATTAAAATTATGATGCTTGCAAGGACTGTTTTTCAACTTGTGTTTATTGTACGCATCAAACTGCAAACTACGAATGGAAAAGTGGCGAAAGAACGAATTGACGACATAATAAATGGAACTGATTGCATTTAACGTAGACAGAAAGAATCTTCTTCTTGTTTTGCAATGGAAAAAGGTAGAACATATTTTTCTTTCGTGACTTCAAAGCATTTTTCGTATGTAAAAATAGATTTTAATTCATGATAAGTGTTCTTACACTAAATATTACATTTCAAAGCGACCGATTTACGATCTTTCAGCACGTTTCATTTTTATTTTAAAATAAAATGGAATTATTTATATTACAGTAATAACTTATATACGTGCAATATGAACGTATCATTACTTGTATCTCACATACATATGAATAATTGTTATGTAACTATTTACTGTGCAATTTTTCGATACATATACTGAGCTGCTGAAGACGGTGCAATAAATGACGCATGTTAGCACCAGAGTGTCGACTTCCGGCTTGTTCTCCGCTGATGTCTTGTCTTTGGCCTAATTCGAAATGAAGTTTAGCTAGTCGTTCCTGTTGCTCTCGTATTTCTGTCATTTGCTCCATGCTGCAGTCCTTTCCTAAATGGATATTTATTCAGAATGATCGTTTCATCAATTTCATATAAATGAATTGTTTCATCAAATAATTATATAGAGGCTTAACGTACCAAATGCGCGCAAATTACCGCTATGAAAATCTTCCAGAAGTTGCAACAACGCCTGCTCCATACGTCGCACATCCGGAACCTCTGATAAAAAGCAATGATGTTTGCACGGCGCCACACCTTTATTTTATAATGCCAAAAGAACAAAACATCAACTAAAAACCGGATGAACGATAAAATATAAACGTAAAAGATAAATATTTTTGTCAACTTAAAATAACTTAAAATATGAAATACAACGTGATATAGATTTTATAGTCTGTTTTTCGAAAGTGGAGATCAGTTATACATCATAGAGTATAATTAGGCCACTATGTATGGAAATTATTTCATTTAATTCCAAAACTAAGGATCTGAGAGTGAATCCAACAATTACCTCATGAAGCCTAGGTCTCTACTTTTGAGAAAAAGACTATGCTTCAAATGTTCACGAAATAAAATAGTGGAAACTATTGTGCAGTATATTCAAAGAATAAAGTGAAATCTTTTTATGGTGACACAGGTGTTCAAATAAAATAAAAAATGTCCTAGAATACAACAATTGAACAGTATGACCCTAAAATACCTTGTTGGTGAAAATTCGAATTTTATATTTACTTATATTATTATTTCCAGACTATGAAGCCATCTAAAGTCATTAATTGTTTATAAGATATTATTTAACCCGGGTCATATTTAGCTAAGCTGTGGATAAATCTCTATTTAACAAGTTATTCAGTTTGATTTATATTTCAGAATTATTAAAGTTAATTCCGAATGCATAGAGAGCATCATTGATATTAATTATATTTGATATTAAATACAATTACCCTTATGTTGGCGATTCAATTTTGATGATTCTGGTCTATTGGATCTCTGTTTTTCCTTCTCATTCACATAACTTAAACGAGACTGATTGCCATAATTTGAAAGATTTACTGCTCTGCCAGAAACCATAGACCCTTGACTTGTTGCTTGACCAGAACTTCCTTTACTAACAATAGGGGAAGTCTGCGTATTACTTTCCCATAATACCTGTTGCTAAAATAATGAACCTTCATGATAAAACATGAATGCTTAATATTTGCAGTAAAATAGCAATGAAAAAGAAAATCATACCGATACATGAGAACTATGTGTATCATTTTTATTTGGATTCTTTGATCTGGCTGGTGTTGATGGCGGAGTTGCTTCACCACCAGGACCTAATGGCTCTTCGCATTCTTCTTCTTGGACTAATTGTTGCAATTCACCGCATCCAGATTTTTCAGTCATTTCTTGATGTCCTTGGTGCAGTTTATGAAAAATGAATGTGACCTTAACACAATATAGATTCTGAAATATACATCCACAGTTGTAATAATTACACATTCTGATTACTCTCAATAAACATATAATAATTTTATGTTTATACTCACAACTTTATTTTCTTCCCCTAATTACATGTTTTAAAAATGTTATTTAAAAAAGAAAATCAATGACAGTGCTGATTTTAGGTTATACAATCAACCTGAGATAAGGCAGTATTTATTTACATTACGTATCACAGCTGACTAATAGAGGACTCTGGTATTGTAACTATATGGCGGTAGATTTAAACTGACTTTTTAAGAAGAGAAAGATACATTACAGATTATATACAGGTTTGCAACCGGATTAGCAAAACAATGTACATACCTAGCAGTCCTTGATCTAACCGCTGTGTTATTGAATTCTTTTTGATTAATCTTTGGTAGATTGAAATCTTATAGAAAACTAATCATCCCTCTCGTGGTAATTATAGGAACCACAATGACTACCTATATCTATACAAAATCGAATCAGCTGTTTGCTGATGTTTATTGTTTACCTGCTTCTTCTGTGAAATTACCTGTAGTAAATACCAAAAATTATAAATTATTTATGTACTGTGATTTTTGAGAAAAATAGTATAATAAACAAAGTTTTCCAAAGACCAATAAAGAATTTTGGATATTTAGTCTTATTGATTTTAATAATTTTAGTTAATATGGAAATATTTATGGCACTTACGTCGTCACAAAAAAATTGTTTAATAAATGTTATAAGGTATCACATTTCAACTATAATAAATATAAACTATATCCTACTGATAAACAATTATTTTATTACCTTTCAGTCCTGAAGGAAATGTTGCAAATATTACTGTAAAACCAAATTTTACTATTGAGAAAGTTAAAACACTAGCAATGAAGCAGTTGTATGGTAATGATAAGACAAAAGTACCATCCCAATTTCGTTTAATACATTCATCAAAGTTTCAAAAACTGGTAGATGGGAATAATATAAATGATGAGCAAGTTAAAGAAAATGGTAGAATATCAGTGTAATAATATTCTGCCTCCATTTAATATGCAGACATAATTGCTTAAAAATAAATGAGAGTGACTACTTCGCAAAAATAATAACGTAAAGCAATTCTGTGTTATAGACACGTTGTTATTAACAAAAATACGTCCAGCATGTCCAAAAGTACCTGTAACTGGCAGAGGTATGGAAGGACCAAATGAAGAAGCAATATTACAAGCAACCAATGATTTACCTACATCCAATTTACCTCGTTACATTCAACCTATTAACTGTGTTATGAATGTAAATGTACAGGATGTTTGGCAGCAGGTGGGAATCCCCCCTCCCCCTAAATTTTTTCCCACCTGTTACAGAACATCCCATATAAGTACAATGTTTCTTTACAAAATATGTATGTTTCATATGTATGTTTTCATCATTTCAGAATGAAATGAAACAAATTGTAGTATCATTAGCACGGACATCTGCAAAACTATTAATGTACAGTTCCGAAGCAAAAAAGACTTACAACATTTTAAAGGAGAAATTAAAAAGAACCTGCGACCCACCTGTAAATGAAGATATTTTAAAATGTCTCATGGATTTTGGCTATTCTCATGAAACAAGCGTACAGGCAATTCTTTTATCAGGGTATAAACATTTCTTTTAACTACTTTATATTACAAATTTTATCACAATTTATTACAAACACTTTTTAGAATTTACACTTTATACATTTGTTATAGAGCAACTACTCAGATAGAAGTAATGGACTGGTTAATAGATTCAGTACCAGATTTTGATGCTGATAATGATTATTCTCATCTGCTAAGAATTGGAAATTTAGAAGAGGATGGGAATATAATAAACATCGTTGAATTCTTGTTGAAAAGCTTTTATCTTGTTAAGAAGCTAACTATCAATGCTGATACAAAAGCACTAATAGTCTTAATGGAAATGGGATTTAATGGAAAGGATGTTGTTAATGCTCTGAAAATGACTGGGAACAATCTGGTTAATGCTGTAAGTAATACAACAATAACGGTTAATCGATTTTATTTATTATATTGCATTTTTCAGTGTGAATGGCTGCTTGGAGATCATTCGTATAGTTTACGCAATTTATATGAAGGCTGTAATCCTGATAGTCCAGTCTATGAGGCAATCATAAATAACGCAGACATTCAGATTAGTCTCAAAAATCCCAAAATGTTATTAGGTACGATTGATTATTCTTGGTATGTAGAAACAATATAATTCACTATAGCTATATAATAATCATGATTTCAGCGTTTCTATCTATAATAGAAAGTACAACATCGATATGGATGTTAGATATTGATGTATTACCAATTTTAGAAAAAATATTTACAATATATAGGAATGAAAAGTACGCCATTTACATCAATAAATGTGCAGGCGAATAATGTTAAATTATAATTAAAAAGACAATACTCCATTGAGTATTATGCGCATATTTGATAAGGTAAGAAATATCAATAAAAGAACATATGCCTTATTAAAGATGAATTATTTATTTAAAAAATTTTAAAACCTAATATTGTCCGTAAATAAGTAATTAACAATTTTTCATGGAAATTAGTGTTTCTCTAATACAATCTAATAGTTCATTTTAAGTGCAAGAACTTTCACAGCATTCCGGTTTTGTCTTGTTACATAGTTTCTTTTACATAATGTCTTACATAGTTGTATAATATACATATAAACTCTTCTTCTCTTACACTATTGCAATATTAAAATCTTATGAAACTTATCTACTCTATTTATCCTTATATCATTTCCCTACTGTTGTAATGAGCAAGACAAGGATAGCGCGACTGTGCGACAATGATAGCAACAGCTCGAAATGTGCCACTAACTTGGTTTGTTACGGCTCCTAATCCTTTCATGCATACCATGCGTCATCCCTCTGAAAATCGTTAATAACTAACTAATTAGGAATCAAATATGCACAAAATTATATTAAAATTGTAGCTAAGACTTCAGTCTAAATTCTTCGATCATAAAAGTGTATAAATTATACCTCGACAATTAAATATTAAATATTTATCCAGGACTTGTAAAATTATTTGAGGTTATTCTATTACACGGGTCTGAATAATTATTAGTAACTATTTAATTCGACACAAAATCTGATTAAAAACTATATGCGAAAATGGCTGAAGGTCCGTTCTATGTTTCTCAATAATTAATATAGATTGATTGTTAATGATAATTGAATTATTAGCAAGTTATCTATTGAATTCACAGATCCCCCGAGAAGCTCTATATGTGTCTCTTTCTTCCTCCGAAAAACACATAAGTTTGTCCTTGTTGGATACCTCCATGCCCATCATGTTTCACTAATACGTACCAAGGAATTCGAAGTGCCGCCAAAAAGTAGGTGGCACGGTCGACCTATCTCTCTCTCCTTGTCGCACACTATCGCTGTCTTTTTCTGACTCATTACAACATCAGGGAAACTAGTTAAAAAATCCGCCACCATAGATGGCGCCACATGTGCGGTAAAATCGTCACATACGTCCTTCCAACAATTAATATTTTAAAAATATTCTGCAGTTAATCAACACACATGTGCGGTAAAATCGTCACATACGTCCTTCCAACAATTAATATTTTAAAAATATTCTGCAGTTAATCACCACACTTTGACAATTGAGAAATGCACTTTGAACTCTTGCACACATCCTTTAAAATCACCGAGCAGATTTCTTGTTTAATTAATGAGTTAGTCACGTTTATCTAATTGCCTGTCTGTGTAATGATCTGTACAATATGTATTTTAGTTCGAGCGTTTATCCACTTGGTGGCAATAGTGTTTCGATGTTGTTGCGGATATGTAATCTATGGCAAACACGTGGTCCCACAAGTGGCCATTCACAGTGTTAGCGTTCTGCGCGAGTTACGCTCTACACCCTGTATGGTTAGCGGTCGTTTCCATTTCCTTTTCTTCCTCCCCCGAAACCAAGAAGGTAGAGAACATCCTCGTAGAGCGGAAACTTTCTCTTGACTTTCGGACCGCGATCTGACCGTTTGTCAAGTACATATTAGTCCAGTTCCTTTTTCCTTGTCCAGCAAGTGTTGTATACACGTACACATATACATACATATATCGTTTTCTGTTTTAATAAAGTTACGTTTAATTGTTACATTCCACGTGTGTGTTTAATCCTGGCGGTAGTGACTGCCGCCACGTGTTGGTCGTCTTACAGACGGTAGGGAATTCGCAATAGGAAGATCCAAAAATAAAACTCGCAGCCGCTAAAATGCCCGTGGTCAGGCTATTTTTAAGAAAATCATAATTGTTCACAGTTATGAAATTCTGAGTAATGGGCTCGACGCGGGGGATAATTAGGAGCATTTGAAGATCAAAAACATAAATATTGAACCACATCTTACCGAGATATTACATTTTTTGTTTTGATATTTCTTGCCTTCGCCACTTGTTACTAGACGTTGCTACCTAAACCACTAGTCTCTCTGTCAGTCTAATATAAGCCTCCCACGAGCAAAGACGTGCATACGAGGAAGAATAAAGCACCGATGCGAAGTTAGGCAAACCACGTGTCTCTATTATCGAAACGCCATCAATCCCCCGTTCTCAGAGAATCAACATAGGAGAACGAAACACCACGCGAATCCGCCGCACGGTACATATAGCGTTTAATTTGTTATTTTATTAAATTTTCATTTTTTGTGCAATGGTTTTTTGTATAATATAATTCCAGTAAAGTCTAGTGATTAACTCGAGAGATTCAATATATCTTTTCATCTTCCATTAATAATTTGCTTTTATAGTGAATATTTACGTTATGTTTCGCACGTGGAGTTTTCAGAAAATCACGCGTGTGATTTGTAAAATAATTAACGTTTATAAGAATTAAAGATTTTAATTTGTACATTACAGAGACAAAGTGAAATATTGTCTTACATTTTTCTAATAATTATATACGTATTATATTTGTCAACAAATTTTAGTTATGACATAAGAAAATATTTACTTGAATTCTTGTAGGTTATATGTATTATTTAATTGTTCAATTACGAACTAAACAATGAAAATAAATAGTAAAAGAGGCATTATGAAGAAATTAAAGAAACCAGAGGCGAAGAAAAAGAAACATTTAAGTAAAGTAACTACAGACGATTTTTTTAATCAAGATTTTGAGGGTGACATAAACACTGACAGCAACAATGAGAATAACAACAAGGACATTAATGATGAAGGTAAGCGCGTAAAATTTATTATACAGAGATAAAATCAAAATTTGCTGAAACTGTTTTCATCAGTTTTTTAATTATAATACAAAATTTAATTTTTATAGGAAGTAGTGATGATGATGTAGATCCAGCCCAACATAAGAAGTCGTTAATGAGATTGAAGAAAACGGATCCAGAATTTTATACATATTTAAAGGAAAATGATAAAAATCTTTTAGAATTCAATGTATCGGACGATGACAATGATGACAATGATGATAAAGATACAGAGAAAATACATATACCTAATACTGATCTAGAAGTACGATAATAAAGAATAAAAAGAAAAGAAAATAATTAAAAGTATATGAATAATATTTTATCTGAATTTTAGGTTGCCAGTGATGAAAGTGATTACGAAGCAAATGATGCCAAAGCAGCAACAGATGGAAGAAAAGTTACATTACAGTTGTTAAAAAGATGGCAGGAAGAAATTCAAAAAGACAAGTACTACTCAACTTATATAATTGACTAATAAATTGTTCTATATGTATTGCAATACAATAATCAGTAAGTGATTCTTACATACATTAACAATAATTTATTTTACAGATCTCCGAATACTATCAAATGTGTCGTTGAAGCTTTCCATGCTGCATTAGAGACAGTATCCGAATCTTCTGATCCAGATCACCTGCAATATAAAGTAGAGGGAGGAGTTGGTTAGATTTTTTAATTTATTATATAGTTTTACTGAATTAAATTTAGTAGAATCCAAACATTTGTAATTAAGTCCATTTCGTAATAAATAAATTTCACAAATTATGATTAATACAATTTAATATTGTTTTAGTGTTCAATGGAGTGGTCCAGTTGTGTATAATGTATTTACCGGATGCATTTAAGCGATTTTTGAATTTGGGACCAGAAACTCAATTTCAAGCTCACAAGACTAAAAGATTCGTAAAAATAAAGGGTATTTTAAAGTCGTATTTAACCGATTTAATCAAGGTGTGCACTCAAATTAATATTTATAATATTTCGAGCTGAAGTAATCTTTATTTTAGTTAGTTTAAAATTGATTCTTTTACAGATTTTAGAAAATGTGACGTCGTCCAACATACTCTCGGTGCTTTTAAAACATTTACATCAAATGTTGCCTTACACACAGTCATTTTCCACGTTGACTAAACCGTTGTTAAAAACTTTACTTAATATTTGGTCAACCAGTGAAGAAACTGTTCGTGTTGTCGCTTTTTTGAGTATATTGCGAATAGCAACCACTAATAAAGAATCGGTGTTAGAAATGTTGTTCAAGGTAGAATAGAAATTGTTAGATTTTATTAAGCGTTGAGGCTTATGATAATTAATATAAATTTTTCATTTTGTTTTAGGCAATGTACGTAAAATACGTCGAGAATTCAAAATTTGTATCGTTTACAACATTATCTGGAATCAACTTTATGAGACATTGTTTGACTGAAATATATTTGCTTGACGATAATCTAGCTTATACGCATGCATTTTTGTACATTAGGCAAATGGCCATTCATTTACGAAATGCTATGACGTTAAAGAAGAAGGTAAATACAAATTACACGTCATATAATAAATTATATGATTTAGCTACTAATTATTTATTATTTTGATCTGCTTCAAGGAAAATTTCCAAGCTGTGTATAACTGGCAATTTATAAATTCATTACGGTTCTGGTCAGATTTAGTTAAAGCGTCAAAAAGCGATTCCATGTTACGTTCTCTTCTATATCCGCTTGTACAAGTGCGTATTAAAAATTTTATTAAACCGAGACACGATCGTATATTCGATTGGAAATAAAATTTGATGTTTTGTTTGCAGATTATTACGGGTACAATCAAAGTAATACCAACCCAACAGTATTACCCGCTCAGATTTCATTGTTTACAAATGTTAACAGACATTTCCAAGGGAACTGGATTGTTTATACCTATACTACCTTTCTTACTGGAGGTATTACATTTAAAAATTGAATACAACTTATTTATTTATTCAATTGTAAATTATATACAAAATATATTTTTTTCCTTGACAGATATTAAACTCCTACGATTTCAATAAGAAACACAAAGCCGTTTCCATGAAGCCCGTACCATTTATTTGCATATTAAGGTTGTCAAAGTCGCAGTTACTAGAGAATGGTTTTAAAGATAACGTTATCGACAGTATATATAAACTCATTTTGGAAAATGCAGCGAATGACAGTCACGCAATATACTTTCCAGATTTGTACATACCATGCATAATTCAGGTAACTAAAACTATAGTCTAATTCCCTTTCAATTTTCACTAATCCAATTGAATACATTATACTGTTTCTATTTTCAGTTAAAATCGTTCTTAAAGAAATGCCACATTGCAAATTACTGTAGGAAAATGAAACAATTACTAGACAAAATCGAGGAGAACAGAAAATACATCGAAAAAGAGCGCAGTAAAACAGTAGTCGACTTGAAAAACATGCAAGAGGTAAAAAATTGGGAGAACAACATCAAAACGCAGGAGACATCGTTATCGAAGTTTTACGAGTCGTGGATCAAGATTTACCAATCTCAAAAGTTGAAAATGCTCACGAAAAACGAGGACACAGCCGAGTACAATATACCTACCTTGAAAAAGCTAAAGCGACCAAAGTCGACTGAAAAATTCCTAGAAGAGAGCGACGATGAAAGTGACTTTGAGATGCGTATAAAGTCTAACGACGGAAAATCGGAGGACGAATCGGAGAAGGCTAAAAAACCTTCTAAGTCGAAGAAAAAGAAGAAAACGAAGACCAGCGCCCGTAGCACGTCCGCGGGCGACGTTGCTTTGCCGACGGAAAAGATGGACATCGTTCAAGACATGAGCAGCGCCGATTGGGACTAAATGTAGTCATTAAAACAGGATGTTAACGTCAATATGCGAGATCACTGTTTTTTGTACAGCAATTACGGTTAGCGGAATAAAGATAAGACATTAATTATAGAAAATTTGCATGTAGAACGTCGGTGCCCTAGGTTGCGACACCTCCTCTATTGCTCTAATCCTCTCCAACGGCCACCTTCTACTCCTCGAGAGCAAACCGAAACGTTAAAAGCACGATACTTTCGTGATACAACGGACAGCAAGAGCAACAACCTTCAAATACTCTAAAATATCATAACTCAAAATAATTTAGGGGACTACATAGCGCACTAACATAACAGCAGAAGGGGTGTAGCTTGACGAATGACTCAAGGAATGCTCGTCAGCAAATTGCGCGAAATTTTCTGACGGAACCTCGTCTATTTTCAAGATTCCCTGCAACAATGGCAAGAGGCCGAAGACATTGAACGCGCGTGTGATGACTTCTGTCGAGCGAGCCGGGGACCGATTGCTAAGGTGTCGCTTTCTGGTAGTCTATTTTTACCAAAGACGACTGAAGGCAGTCGGGAAGTTGGTATAGCGACGGTTGGCCGCTATTATAAAGCACTCTGTGCTGGCCGTGCGGTAATTCATCTCGCCCGTGTGAACGTTTTCGACGATCCAGCCGATTTTTCCTCTGTTTCCAAAGAACCGGTGGCCGGCTCGCCGATTAAATCGGAGGCAACGGTGGCAGCTTTTGGAGCACGCGGCTGGCTTAGGATCCTCTGGCTCGAATCGAAGCTCTCCGCCGAAATCGAGGGAGGATTTTCAGTTACGTATGTAGGTGAAAAAAGAACCACGAGAAAAAAAGATCATCGTCGACGTTTGAGACGATCTAGCCCCAGGTGCTTGCGTGTTTGTCGAGTTGATCCTCGGGGGAGAGGGCGAGCTTTTCCGAGGTCTCTCCTTTGTCCGTCTCGGTTGCCTGTTGCCGAGGGAATCTTTGACCCCGGTTATGAATGAACCACTGCCAGGCTGGTAGCCGACTGGTAGCCACTTTGTGCGGTGCTCCCGACGGAGTTAGCGTGGCCAAGTGTGTGCCTGGCCGACCACCTCTGTACATACCTAATCGACTATGTTCGCGCGTGCCAGGGAAACATATTGTAAGACGCGAATTTTGTCTCATGGCGAGGGAGCCTTCGTCGTGAGGATTCGCACTCCTCCCGTACGGAGCACTTCGTTCTGAGTATAGTTACGGCCGCGGGTTACGTAAATTCGTAAAAAAAGAACGCGTCGGCGAGTCTCGATAGTCGGACATCATCAGTATAATTCTAAAAGAATCGGAGAATAATTAAAAATATAGAAACAGGGTGAAAGAGAGAGAGAGAGAGAGAGGAGAAGAGCAGTGCGTAGAACGTCGAAATGAGGAAGGCAGCGTTCGATAAGTAAACCTTCAAGAGTTTTTCCAGAATATTTCTCAGAGAGAATCGGACAGGGCCATAATCAGATCGTTCCATTTCTTTCTTTCTTGTTTGGTTTTTTTCGCGGGGATTGGCAGAGATCGGGCAGTTTTTCGTTTTGCTGCGTTGGTTTCTTCACGCTGCGGTAACTCGAATTAAACCCTGCTTGAGCTGTAACGACTAAAACGGACAGTGATGCGATTTGTTTGCGGACCCGGAGTAGCATAGGATGATTTTAAAATAGCAAAGTTTGCCGATAGCCTCGCGTACACCCTAATAAAGTGGACATGTTGCCGTTCGATTCGTTGCGTCGGTGTTCGTGCATCTCTCGCATTTAATTCGGATAATCGATTGTTTCATTTTGAACGTGTCCACGGAACGGTGGTGTTAATTATTAAAGCGTCAAGCTCCGACGATTCGGCAATCTGAATTTTTAAATCGTTCGCGTTCGAGAGATTTCAACAGCTTGCGCGTTCAATTTCGAAAGCTATAAATTCCCGTATTTTCTGGAGTGTGTTTGCTCTCGTTGTCATTAAAAATACAGTTCGGTAAATGTTCGCGCAGAGTACGATGACAACTGTTCGCTTGATAGTCCGTGAATTTTATTTCCGCGTTTTTCCTTCGTTTTGATTGGTGAAAGTGATTAAAAAAGTTAACGCGAGTCTAGAAACGACAGCATTTTCGTCCCTGAAAAATTCATAGAAATACTGAGAAATTCGCCAAAATTAGCGAAGCTTCGTAGTGTTTTTATTCAGTGTTTTAGGACAAAGAGTCTCGCGTGATCATCGAACGAAGTGATATTCTGATCGTTGCTGTCTGGTTTCTGTTCTTATTTCAGCCGCGAGAATCTTCCCGTCGTGGAAAAGAAATTTGTGGTTCTCTTCGACGAAAAAAATCCTACAAAGTGACGCGACAGTGAAAATTCGCAGCCGAGAGCAATCGATCGGGGTGAATTGCGAAATCGCGCGTGAATCCTCGTCGAACTGTTAACCCGTCGCGCGGACAGTTCTTTTTTTAATCGTGTCGGAAAGCCAGGTTATTATTTAGCGTCAAGGATCGCGGACGGTTCCCATAACTTCATCCCCGGTAAATAGAGCGCCGGTAATCCACCCCGAACGAAAATGTTCGAACTGTTACTGCGTATTACGTTACATCAGATAAATTTAGCATTTCTTTTGCATAGAAGCCCATTGTAACGCTGCCAATACCGCAACGCGGAATTAATTGGCGGTTTGGAAGGGAACCAATTCCCTTCGATCCGCACTGATTCGCCCCCGGCCGCGTCTACTATCGATCAAACATTTTTTTTCCTTTCTCCAGTTTCTCAGGCGATCTTAGCGACTTAACAAGATCTAACAACCGCAACAGCTCCCAAAAAGATAATCGAATACGAACAAGAGACGTACGGCTTACTTTTTTTCACCATTTAATCGCTGCTATCGTATCGAATTCATTAACGGAATACATAATTAAAACTCGCATTTTTCGCTGCCTGATTAAACGCTGAATCATCTTTAATTCGATCGATTTCGTTCTTTTCACTCGCACGTTGTTCACACTCTTCTTCTCCCTTTTTTACAAGCCGCGGATGGAATCGCAGCGCGAACGCATTATTTTCGATCGAATAACATCTCATTCTGCGAGAGTATGACACGCCGCATAACGCCAGCTCCACTAACAAGAGTAATTATTTTCACACTCGTCATTCTTTATTTATTATTATTATTATTGTTATCATTATTATGCGTTCGTAACCGTGGACTTTGTGCATTCGTAGCGTGCCAGAAACTGTTTATATACACCGAGGAAAACATATTTTCATGAAAATTGAGTAACATTGGGTCAATCGAGAACGACCAGAATTTGTAACGATTTTGAGAAAAATATACCATGTAAATAAACGCAACGATTACACTTTTCAAATACAATATTCCAAATACAATTATTCTATACGAATCGTCGAATAAATTTCTGCAAATTCGGCCCCGAAAAGCTACGCTCGCACAGACTCCGCGGTCCGTTTATTTCTCGTTTGATTCGTCGAACAAACGTTGCTAGCTTTTGCAAACATCAAGAGACCGGGCTTGCGATCGCGAAAGCGGGGTGCGGGCGGACTAACGTTGCCAGTTGTTTTCGTTCCAACAGACCTAGCGCGCAAAGGAGCGTTTTGAGCACGGCATACAATTCGTACGGTATCGCGTCGAGAAATTCGAAGGATGCCGAGTATCGGTACAGCAGCGTGAATTACGGCAACGTGCAGGAGAAGAGCTGTCTGCAACGAAGCATATCCGCGGATAATGTTGTAATACGTTCCCGCGGTTTCAAACCCTCCGACAGACACGACCCCGTGAAGAGGAATTTCCTTGAGCATCTGACTTCGAAAATACTGCACTTCGACATGGTGAGTCCCGGCGGAAGAAGACGCGCACCGCACGCGCACACAACGAACAGGAAAAACCTGTTTACTCTACATTTTAAAATAACCAAATGCAGTTCTTCCATTGCCGCAAACTGCGTTAGACACGTACGGATTACGCGACCCTCGTGTTCCCCGTTGAATACGCCGGCTTTCAGAGTGATGCATGAGGTGAAAGATTAGTTTGCCGAGTGTCTGCGTGGTGAGACACCGTTCGAAGAATCCCGTTTTGATTGCACTTCGTTCAGGAATCCCTTAAATCGTACGATTCGGAACCTTTTCTTTTCTTTTTTTTTGACGCCTCGACAAGTCTTGTTTCAACTTTTTTCGCAGACTTAAAAAGTCATTTTCACTGTGATGCATGTTTAAGCACATCTCCTGATTTTGCGTTGAACGTGTGTTGCAGCAATTTCTCCGTAATTCGCGCTCGGATCGCGCACAAAGCATGGACGAATTTGAGGAGAGGAGACACGATTATTCGAGCGTTGCGGCTCGTTCGTATAGTTGCCGATTAATAGAAATAATTAATAAGGTCGATTAAATAAATAAGAATCGATAGAAACGAGACGCAAGGATCAATTAATCGTATCTCGTCTTGAGCGCGAATTAAGGAGAAATTACCTGTATTTAGCTCTTAATTAGCTGTCCGAATTTTGTTAGCGTAATTTATCACACGTTTAGTGTGATTCTTAGCGCGATTCTGTTATAAATTTTCCAAATTTTCCGATTCGCTGAGACAATGTCGCGCGAATTCGGACGGGGAGAAGCTTTGATTTTACCGGTTAGAACGTTGCTTGTGCAACGAGATGATTGATCTAGGAGGTAACCTCGAGTTTGTGGAATTGTCGAAAGAGCTGGATCGACGCGGTGAGCAACTGGAATATCGTTTTTCGTTACGATTTGTAGGAGAGCAACAGCAGCACTCCGGTGAACTTGCAGAAACTGCTCACCCCCGCCTCTGACACGGAGGGAATCATGCAATCGAAGAACAGTAAGTTGGAGCTCGATGCCGGTCAATTTTTGTAAAAGCAACAAATCGGTTTGACGGACGATTGTTTCGATAAAATATCGCGGCCCTACGGGAGATATTTAACTGCGATCGCAACGGGCGAACGGAATTTATCGATGCGATTAGTCGCTGTGGAGTTCTCTGCCAAAAATTGTCTCCACTGATCTCAAGGTTATTTAATTTATTTCTTCTCCAAATAATTATAGCTGCATCAGAAGATCGTGGTTCGAGGGAGATGTATTAATACCTTTCTAAAAAGTTTAATTTTTTTTTAAATTTCGTTGTACATTTGAAAACATCCCTCCGTGAAATCGTAGAAATCTTAAAAATCCTAAAAATCCTAAAAATCCTCGTTATATACTTGTTATCAAAATCTTATTATCAGCTTTGCAAATATTAAATGTTTTTTAAAAAGCGGATTTTTTCCAAAATTCACTGATTTTCCCCGCTAGACGCGAGTAAAGCTCGGTCTGCGACCCGCGAATAGTGCGTTAACCCTTTGCACCACCCTGTCGGCTCTGAGAGGCCATAAAAAATTGTTGTATCACGTTACAAAATAATTTGAACGTTATCGAATTTGTTTACATTTAAACAATTGTGCCAACTGCGTAACTGTTGCTCGAGTCACAAAATTCGATGTCGAATGTATAAAATGCAATAAGTTATATGAAATGAAAATATTATAGATCGGAGAAACTATTTCTCTCAGATTTCGAGTTAAAATGGCTTCGAGAGTGCAACGGGTTAATATGTACAGCGGACTAAAAATTCGAAATTCGAGAGACGCGAGGTTTAAAGTGCTGCCGATTTGTTGCAATTACGGTCGAGGTGTTGTTGTAAAGAGGCCATTTGAACGATTGCAGGGAAAATGTTCGCGTCCTCGTACTTTTACGCACCGACGCATCCGACTGTCGAAGACCAGGTGGAGCTTGCGCGACGAATTTCGCATTCGCTGAGCGACGTGAAGAACATGAAGAGCAAGGGTCAATCGATGTACGTGAACAGAAAGAAACGATCCGTGAAATGGATCCACGACGGCAACGGTACGTGCTGAAGAAGTGATCGCATGATTTTTCAATCGCGTAATCGGTTGATCTCGCTTCTGAAACGCTTACGTTTCGATCCGAAATGATTTGAAGTGATTGGCGAATAAATGAATAATTTCAAGTAATTAGTAAACACAAGTAAATAATTTCAAGTAATTGGTAAACACAAGTAGGCAATTTCAAGTAATTGGTGAATAAGTAAATAATTTAGAGTAATTGGTAAATAAGTAATAATTTAAAATCTCTATACTGATAGCATGAAATAATTAATTGTAGGCGTAGAGGACATGGAGGAGCCCTCCACCCCCGCCCACAGGGTAAGTTCTGTATCGTGAATATACCATTCGAATGTACAACTTGCTATTCAATTACAAACCATCATGCAAATTGAACTATTCATTTCGAATTAAAAATTTGATCGAACGTAGCTTATTTTTATTCTGTTAGTATAAATTTTCTGTTATTGATACTAGATTTACGGAACCCGTCAGAATGACGGGTCACTAATTTTTTAATATTTACGATTATTCATATCGTAAAAATACATTTATGAGTTATTTATCAGAATAAGAAGTCATACAATCAGAATAAATATCTTATTGTTACTTTTATAAACTAATATAAAACAGCTGTTTTTTATGTTCCGTAAATATAGCGTTGAATATTTCTCGTACGAAATGGATTGACGATTGTCGCGGAACATTTGCAAAGTATAAGATTGGAAGCGAATAAATGAATTCGGTGGTCAAATTAGAATCGAACAGATGAATCAGCAGTGCAATTAGAATTGAATAGATAAATCAGTAGTGAAAAATTAGAAAAGAATAGATAAATCGTCGGTAAAATTAGCAGCGAATAATTAAATAATTCGTAGGATCGGGTAATGAAATAGAATCTTGCTTGATAAGTTCAATTCGATTGTTTACATAGATAATTAGATTGCGTAGAAAACGCGTTATCAACGTCGTGTTAATTAACGTTTTATCGGTGCCGTGTTGCCGATAAAGTGCAGAAACGTTCACGGAACATCCATCGAAGGAGTAAAGAAGTTCTGCTGTATTTTTTAACGAATATTTATAGCTGCGTAGAATGTGATTCTTTTTTTACACGACAGCCAACACTCATTCAGAAATGTCAAGCACTCAAGGGTTGCACATGCGCGCGCCCAGTACACCGATCCCTGATCGAGATGATCGCTCTATGCCAGGGATCAAATTATTTTCACGCTATTTTCCACCCGAGCTCGTTGCCGGCAGATTGATTCGGCAACGAGGAATCGTTCTCGAAACGATAACCTGATTTCAACCCTTCGCACTCGGGACTATTTTAATACCAAAACGAAGACGTTTGTTTCAAACCTGCATGAACACCATTCGATACGATTGTTTTTGTTCGATGCTTTCTATTATTTGACAATTTATCGAATACAGGTAAATTGAATAATGCGAAGATGCTTTTGAAAATAGCGTATCAATTTTTAGCGTCGTCTCGGAGTCGCCACTCGAGTGCAAAGGGTTGACATTAATAATATAACATTTGACGCTAGAACTACCAAAACAGTTAAAACGACTGCTTTCAGATTTTTTTTCTTTCATGGTTTCATATATTATAAAAATGTTTCTCGGAGAAATGTTTAGATAAAAATTTATCCTTTATGCGATCACATGTTACCATAGAAATCGCACGAAATCGAAATAAATCCAATCTTGCCATTTTGTATGAAACAATCAGCGTCGTTAAGAGCTCGGTAGTTCCAGCGTTAATATCCCGATGACTCTGTTCCGGTTTGAAATGTTCGCACAGGAGAAGATCCCATTGAAATGCATGATGAACCCGCACGGAAAAGTGTTGGACATACACGGTATTCAGGCTCTGGGCGAGGAAGTGAACATCGAACCGATGCCGAAGAACCCCGAGAAGCTCTTCAACATTGTTCGTGACCTGAACACGCAAAAAGGCCGCGGTGAGAACCGTTAAACATTCCGACTGCGTTGCGAATTTTACGCGTCCGCAATTTTCGAGGATTCCGCAGATACATCGATCGATTTCAATGATCTATGGATTTTAATCACTTTGCGCTCGAAGCCATTTCAACTGGAATTCCAAAATAGTTTTTCCGATCTACAGTGTTTTCATTCTATATAAAAATAGTGCATTTATCTATATATTATTGTTAAAAATAAATATATATAATATATATAATAATATATAATATAATAATATAATAATATATAATATAATAATATAATAATATAATAATATATAATATAATATATATAAATATATATAATAAATATATTATATATATAATATATAATAATATAAAAATATAATGTAAACAAATATGATGTAAAAATTATTTTTGCACATGGTGTAATAACTTTTGCGGTGCCCCGGGGTCGCCATTCGAGTGCAAAGGGTTAATTGAAATGTAAAAACTTTTAATCGGATCAAAGTATAAACATTTATTATAGAAATAAATATCCGTTCTCTCTAATTTTCCTTCAGCTGCAAACAAGAATGAATGATTTTGGAAGAGGAGATTCATATAAACGAGCCGCGAGGCTCGAATAATCGTATCCCCTCTTCCTAAATAGTCCATTTTTGTTTACANGTTAAACATTCCGACTGCGTTGCGAATTTTACGCGTCCGCAATTTTCGAGGATTCCGCAGATACATCGATCGATTTCAATGATCTATGGATTTTAATCACTTTGCGCTCGAAGCCATTTCAACTGGAATTCCAAAATAGTTTTTCCGATCTACAGTGTTTTCATTCTATATAAAAATAGTGCATTTATCTATATATTATTGTTAAAAATAAATATATATAATATATATAATAATATATAATATAATAATATAATAATATATAATATAATAATATAATAATATAATAATATATAATATAATATATATAAATATATATAATAAATATATTATATATATAATATATAATAATATAAAAATATAATGTAAACAAATATGATGTAAAAATTATTTTTGCACATGGTGTAATAACTTTTGCGGTGCCCCGGGGTCGCCATTCGAGTGCAAAGGGTTAATTGAAATGTAAAAACTTTTAATCGGATCAAAGTATAAACATTTATTATAGAAATAAATATCCGTTCTCTCTAATTTTCCTTCAGCTGCAAACAAGAATGAATGATTTTGGAAGAGGAGATTCATATAAACGAGCCGCGAGGCTCGAATAATCGTATCCCCTCTTCCTAAATAGTCCATTTTTGTTTACAAGCTGAAGGAAAATTCGGGAGAACTCACTGTACATCATTTTACAAATATGAAAATTCGTACTTCAAAATGGCAAACATTGTATGAATTTGAATCAGTCTTGCGGTCGATCCGCTGGCAAGTTATTCAACCAATTTTTAACCTAACGCTCTCGTCTATTTCTTATCGGTGAAATTGAGATGCCTCTACCACTATAAATAATTTAATAAATGAGAGATACATAAAGTATAACGAAACGAGAGGTAAATTCAATAAAACGCAAAGTTAGCACCGACTTGGAACTCCATTTGTTTGTGCTCGGATTAATTGAACATTGAACGATCAAATATTTGAGCATTGTTCTTATCGAAGGACAATGGGAATCGTCGAAAACACTGCTCGGAGATATAAAAACACTATCGAAGATATAAAATCGGCGATCGCTAAAATATATGTCACCATTCTGCCAATTAAAAAAAAGACAAGAACACGAGTGTCCGCGGGGAGAGGGGACGAGTACATAACACTTTCATTGATACTTCAATCTATGTTTTATCACTCGAAAATCCTTCGATTCCGCTTTCTAATTTTCATAGCTCGTCGGCACACCTAATCGACCACTTCCCGTGATAATTATTATCCGGCAATATCATTTCTCTGCAATATCATGATGATACACGTGCCAGAATTTCGACGAGATAATAATGTAGCAAATTATTAGCGACAAAATAATAATAACGATCCACGCTCGCATGTTCCTAGAATTGTCGACGAATTAGATCCACGAATATGCTAAAACGTGCGAATAATTTATAGGTGCCGAGATATTCGCGAAACGTAGGAAAAGATCTGAGAAATGGGTTGTAGACACAGACCAGCCTCAAACGCCTAACGTGCAGGGAATGCCAAAAACACCGGTTTATCCAAGGAAGCAGGTAATATTTCTATGTCAAAGCGCTACCAGCAGGGCACCTATTGCACAATGGACCACGATCTTCGAGTATTAGTAATTTACTAAAATTAGTGGTCCACTGAAAGCAAGCTCTCCCAACTGTTCGCTCGATTTCTATCGATATATTTCACAAGGGTCTACAGCAAACACGTACTCGAATAATTAACTACATTCGTGTTATATTCACGTGTTCGAAGGAAAACCGCTTACGATAATGTCATGGATTTTTATTTTATTATTCAAAAGTTCTTGGATGTAATACTTGGACGAATATGTACTCAAATTATTAAATACATTCATACAATTTAATATAATATATTTATAATATAAATATTTATAATTGTATGTAATATAAAAATATATTATATTTAATTCATCCAAATATTTATCCAAGCATTACGTCCAAAAGCTTTTGAATAATAAAAGAAAGATATATACATTTAAATATGTTCATATATTTTTATTTTAATATTCACAAGTTAATTTAATATAATATATTTATATTATTCATAAATATATTATATTAAATTATATGAATGTATTTAATTATTTGAGTATGTATTCATCCAAGAACTCTTGAATAATAAAATAAAAATATATATATCTAAATACATTCATATATTTTTATTTTAATATTCAAAAGTCCTCGGATGTTGAGAAATCTGAGAGAATTCTTTTGAACGAATTACCGATTTAATTAATTGCATAGCTCCTTGTTACGCGTCTTCCCAAGATATAACAATTTACTGAAATGTTTAAAGTAAGAAAGAAACTTTCCATTCGAGAGACTTCTTACAATTGATACAGAATATTGAAATGTGTTGCATCCACAGTCTAGTTCAGAGTTTGTACAAAAATTTGTATAAAATTTGTACGAAAATCTGCGAGAGACTCGAAAGAGGGGATTTAAAACGATTGACTTTGTCCACGTTTAGGAAATGAACGGCACTTCGAAGTACTCATCCGCGTCGCCGTTTTCGCCTCACGCAGTCGAGCCTCTCGACGAGAAGCCGTTCTACAACCCCTTCACCGTGGACCTGTCCCTGAGCGACGCGAATCCACCCACGACAGGTACTCGCGTTCTTTATCCAATAAAATTTCGTTGGCACGTTCATCTGGCAAATGTTTCGTTTCCACACTGAATATCTCTGCTTATTCCTAACGCTTGTAAACAGTTGGACTCTGTCCGACGTGTTCCCCAAGGATTTGAAACCCGAGTCACGGACAATCCTCGCAGTTGTTTTCGTCGAGGCTCACCGTTGTTTTTGCAGTTTCCGAGATTGTCGCCGCTCGAAGAGCGCGCGAAATCGTTTCGCAACAATGGAACCACAGAGATAAATCAGTCGAAAGCGAGCTATTATCACGAGCGTCGAACCTAGATTTGTTTCTGTCGATGATCCGCGCCGGGTGCATCGACCCGGCAAGGTTTCGTTTGGCAAACGTGATCGATCTTGGTCAATCGACGCGCAGCGAGACCGTTGCCTCGTTCTTTTATCTTCTATATCGAAAATAAACAGCGGCCCGAACCCCGTTGCCAATCGAAATCTTGATACCGATTACATTTATAGTTGTCGGAAGCTGACGCCAGCTTAAGTCCTAAGCTTTAAGCTTTAACGAACTTAATGTATCACGGATTTTGATTTTATCTTTTGGCGAGAGAAGCGAGCGAATTATTTCATTCGACTTTGGTGCACGTTAATTTCTTAATAAATTATGCGAAAATTTGCGAACGATTGTCTACCTGCAATCCATTGCAGTGATTTACGTATTAATCTGGTTCTGAATTGTTCGCCGATGTAGACTGCGGATCTTTATGCGAAACAAGGCTTTTTTACATCGATTGTAAGAGGCGGGGGTTAAATAAAAATAGTTCTACGAAGTTCGAAATAGTATGACGATGTGTTTCGAAATTCCTCTGGTGTCTTCATTGCCGCTGTATTTCGTTGATCCATTTTTTACCATAAATGCATAAAATTCGCAGTCTATTTATTGTAAAATAAACAAGATTTAATACGTGATCAATAATATCTCCAATGTTGTACAGAGTGTCCCGGGATTTTCCCACCGAACTGCAAGAGTTTAATCCAGTGGCCAAAAGAAGAAAAAAAGACCTATGAATTTTGCGAATTGAAGCTTTGTTAGTGAAACTTTCGGTAAAATAATGAAGTATTTATTTTTGTTATATCTCTGTGTTAATTCGCAAACTTCATATAACATTTCTTTTCTCTTTTGGCCCCTAGATTAAGCTCTCGCCGTTTGGCGGGAAAATCCCGAGACACCCTGTATAATGAAAAATATAATTTAATATAATTTTTAATGAAAAGTATAATTTAAAGAAAAAATAATTTAATATAATTTTCTATGAAAAATATAATTTAAAAAATATATAACCCCAACAGCAGTATCAAAATTAGAATGAAAATTTTTGTAAATTTGACAAGATAAATTCTGAAATGAAAAATCTAGTAGAATGGAGTATTTTATTTTCGTTTTATTCAATCATAGTGCCATTGTATTAATAAAACTAAGATTGCAACACACATTCTGCACAGAACCGTCGGATGAACTGCGTTCCCAGGGGTTTCTTATCAGTGGACTGCTCTGCGCATTCCTGTGCAGTCTACCGATCGGAAATCAGCTTCTCTCGCTATATACATAGGGTGTCCCGAAAATGTCTCGCAATCCGGCAATGGGCGTTCGCTGAGATCATTTGAAGTAACTTTTTTCTTAGCCGAAATGCAATCCGTGGCTTTGTTTACGAGTTATTGACGAAAAACACTGACCAATGAGAGGCGAGCACGGCTGGCGCGAGGCGGTCCAGTCAACGAGCGCAGTTCCGCTCATTGGCTCGGCCGTCTCGCGCCTCTCATTGGTCAGCGTTTTTCGTTAATAACTCGTTAACGATGCCTCGGAGAACATTTTCGTAAAGAAAAAAATTACTTCAAATGACCTCAGGAACCCCGATCTCCGGATTGCGAGACATTTTCGGGGCACCCTGTATATTAAACTCGAGCAGCGTCTTGTTTGGACCGCGATAGGAGAGAAATCATGACAAATGATCGCTTGCACGTTTCAGACAGGAATCATTACCGGTGCAACGGCAAAGACTGCAGCCACCTGACCGAGGTGAAAAAGATCTATTTGCGCGAGGTGGCGGTCGGCACCGATAACGATTTCCCGGAGAACAAGTATCGATCGTCCGTCGTCGAAAAGTCCCGGCGATCGAGCTTCGATCCGGACGCGGATCGATACGTGAATCACCACGCGAGGAACGGAAACAATTACGAGACGGTCGCGGCCCAATTAACCACTAACAAACGCAATCACAAATCGGCCGGCACGATCGGCAGGTCGAGCTACCCTAACAGACAGAGCTTCGCCACTAACAAAGAGAGCAAAAGCTACATGAAGGAGCAACGCATGACCGAGTGCATGATCAATGGGAAAGAGAAGATCGTGAACAGCCAGCGAGAAACGGAGACCAGGATCGATAACGAAGGGAACGAGTACACGCCGGTCCCTGTCAGACAACTGATACAGGAGTTCGAGAAAACCTGCCGACCGGTTCTCCAGTACAAGCAGATCAGTCCCAAGGTCATCCCCATCGTTCAGCATTGTCCCGTCGATAACGATCTAACGCGATTCTTCGAGACTCGCAGCTCCGTTAAGTACAATACCGTCGAGGATCATAGGAGGTGAGACGGAATGATAAACCGCGACCCTAAGTGTTGTATGTTCCACGAAATTTTCTGTGCCCCGTTCGCTATTCTTCGAGATTGGATCTCTGTCAAAATACGGAGATCTCACAATTTCGAGTTTAGCTCCGTAACGTGTCGGATTTATGAACAATTTATTCAATCGATCTCAATCGATAGCTGACGAATTTGTTTTGTAACTGAATTTATTTGGTAAATTCGTTTGACTTATCTCTATTACTATTGTAATCTGTTCACTCTGTTATCTGTGATGTTACTTACCATAAACTGTATCGGACTGCTCGTATCTCGTTTCGAAATCTAACGACCAATCAATGTAAAACAGGCGATAATTATTCGCGAGAATCGAACTTACAAATGGAAATATGACAATGAGATATCGTGATATGGTGAATTAGAAAGGCGTTTAATCGCGAGTAGATACAGACGGCAATGATTAGACGTGGTATTATAGTTTTCAAACTCGCACGCTTGTTTATTGAAATTCGAACGCGCACACCTTTTATTTTTCTGCGAATGCTATCGCTCATTGGATAACATTGTTCGCCGGGTTTCAAAAAGAATATTGCTTTCTACAACTTGAAGATGCGAACGTCCAGCAGAATTCATCGAAGATTAGATTGTGGTATCATTGCGCGTGCGTTAAGAAAGTCATCAAGGTCAATATGCAAAGGTAGTATTCTCATCTTCTATCGGAGTTCGATTACCGCAGACTCCGCGAATTAAACAGCAGAAGAACTTGTTTCCACGGAAGAGAGTTGCAACGGATCCGAAACATTACAACAGTTTTAGTGAGATATTTTCAGACCTCGAAGAATCTTATTTCCAAAACTGCTTTTAGGAAATATTAGTGATAGCACTGTTCAAATCAAAGGGGTCATTTGAGTTCACCGAAATATTAATATTAATTATATTAATATAATTGTATTAATATTTAATATTATATTTTAATTATGCAAAAATGATTTCATTAATTAAATATAATATTTAATATTATATCTTAATTATATAAAAATGACTTCATTAATTAAATATAATATTTAATATTATATCTTAATTATATAAAAATGATTTCATCAATTAAATATAATATTTCATATTATATCTTAGTTACATAAAAATTATTTAATTAATTAAATATAATATTAAATATTATATTTTACATTATATACAATTATATTAATATTAATATTAATAAAAAGCACGCGATACTTTCGCAAGTATTTCCCCCAAATATTCGACAACCACGAGAATCCATTTTTGCATGAAGATTCTTGCCCTAAATTTTTCGCAGTCACCCTAAAATTATCTAAAAGAATTCTCTCGCACAACTGTCCCTTAATTTCAACTATTCCACTCCCAAAAGTGAATTTACATTCTCAGACATATCGAATAAGACATGTTACCAGTTCCTGGAGATTTTCCAGTAAAAAAAAATCCTACAAGTCAACCAAAATATATACTTCCAAATAGGATACTCGTTAAAAAGGAAAGTCCATTGGGGTTCTCCCCAAAAAATTCCCAGAAGTCACATAAAACTGCACGATCCCTTAAAACTTCATCGAGCTCTATTCTCCTGTGAATAACAATGGAGGCCAGAGGCGATCACTATGATTTTCCTAACTGGTTCTAATTCAGAATGAGTGGTCAACAAGCATACGAGGACGCCATGAAGATTCAGGACCCCCGTAACAACGGCTACGTGTCGACCGACGACACGGAGTACACCAGCGATAACGATACCGATTCGCAGAACGATTACGGCAGCGAGGAGATCATTTACCGCGAAAAATCCGAGTCGTCTAGCGCCATGAACGGCGAGCAGGAATATTCGTCGATGTACCACGAAGAGTATAATACCTCGGATCGGCGCCGATCGGTCACGTCCCAGGAAGTCGAGAACTTCTGCACGAATGGCGACGGCAAATACGTGAACACCGAGTCCGACGTGCCTGTCGCGACGAAATCGTACTTGTTGTCGATGATTGCCTCGCAGGAGGACATCCTGAAGACCATCAAACACCTTCGCAACACGCCGGTCTTGGACAATCTGTTGCACAGCGTCACGCCGGACTTTAAGTTGAACGATATTTGCGAGGACGAGGACGACGGCAAGTTGCTTTGCATGCGCTTCAATTTTGCCTTTTTATGCCTTTTTCCAGCTTTCTCTTGCTTTGTTTCTAAAATAAGTGAAAGAACAGCGTCGTTTTTTTCCCTTCTATCCTAGGTTTGTCTGTTATTCTGCAAACTTCCAAATTTATAAGAATATTATTTATATGACATGTTTACACAATTGTATAATTATATCGTTCCACTTTTCCTGCAAACTTTCTAATTTATCAGAATATTATTTATACAAATTTGCATAATTTTGTTTTAGATGTTTGTACAATTATATCATTCCACTTATTTTCACAAACTTTCTAATTTATAAGAACATTATTTATACAACATATTTACACAATTTTACTTGAGATATTTGTATAATTATATCGTTCCACTTTTTTTCCATAAACTTTCAAATCTATAAGAACATTATTTGTACAATACAAACAACATTTGCACAATTTTGTTTTATATATTTATGTAATTATATCATTTCACTTTTTTCCATAAACTTTCAAATTTATAAGAATATTATTTGCACAATACATTTACACAATTTTGTTTTACATATTTATATAGTTATAT